GTAACCAGGGACCACCTGCCCAAGGGTGGCACCACCCACAGTAGGCTGGGCCCTTCCACCTCAATGATTAATCAAGAAAATGTCCCACACACTTTACTGCAGGCCAAACTATGGGAGTTATTGTGCCACTTTCCAAATGCCCCTGGTTTGTGTCAAGTAGACAGACTGACACATAAATGCAGTATTGTACACTTTCGTTATTTAATAAAGTCTATGGAATCCATATAACAGGATAAACCAGAAACTTTACAAAGCAACCCTGAGAAACTGGGGAAAGGACGAGATACTGTCTGTTGACATGCCATAATGCTCATATACACTGGTATCTGGACCATGTTATTTATCCTTATACCCTTCAGGTCTCAAACTACAGATATCAAAAATCAAGAAACAAAAGTAAACACTAGAAATTAGTTTTCATACTTTTAAATAAAAGTACATTCTTAATAACCAGTCTCAAATGGCAAATTATTACAGCCAATTCCCAATTACTCATGAGAAGTTCTATTATAAAGCAAAGACTCAAAACCACTAAGCGCCTGACACAATAAGGTCTGCCTGCTGCTTCCAAGACTGTTAACAACACAACCTAATATAGTTAATAATGGGATTTAACAAGTATTTGTTAAATTTTAAGTTAAAATTAGAAAAACCCAAATATACTTTGAATGTAAATCTAAACTTTCACCAAGGCAGCAACATATTCACAAATGACTGGTTTGAATTCTGTTAGGGCTATCCACAGAAAGTGTTTAAAACAGACTGAAAGCAACTGCTTACTCTACAACACAGAAAGTGAACAGCCATATTCCACATTATTTCATAGGTATAACTTACTAGGTACCACACGCTTCTCCCTCACACCCAAGTCCCCTGATATCAAGGCAAGCACATAACATATTTAATGGCTCAAGAAAGTGTCCTGAAGAACTAGTTTCATAGCATAAGTGCATTGGAACAGCAGTAAAACATCCACAACCTGGGTTCTTATAAACAAAAACCAATCTACCACTGTCTAAACTGACCACATACCAAACATGAACAGAACTGTCCTCTATACAAGGACTGAAAAATTTGAGGCAAATATTTGAGGACTGTATATAGGCTTGTCATCAAAATAGGAAAGCGACCCAACACAAAAGCAGCCCAACACAGCCTGATTGCCACTATTCTGGATACTAAGATAAAATTTCATTATTTTTTCCATCAGCTTCAAAATATTTTTTTAAAGATTATTCCTAATGATTTAAAACAAAGAACAAGAAGTGTGGCTGGAAAGAGCTTGGCAGCCAAGAGCCCTGGATACTATTCTTGAGGACCCAGGTTCCATTCCCAGTACCCACATGACAGCTCACCATCCATCATCTGAACCCAAGCTCCAGAAGATCTGACGGCCTTCTCTTCTGGCCTCTGTACCATATTACATTGTGCACAGACATAAACAAAGGCAAAACACCAACACACACAAAAACAAACAAAAAACAGGAGTTAATGCAGTTAGCTCCATGCTATAATGACTAGATTATCCTGCTGTATTTTGGTTTCTATAAATCAACTTGTTTCTTCTTAGAAAATTCTTACTCTATTTAAAAATATTTTAGATAATTCTTAATCAATGATGCACAAAAAATAGTTTTAATGGCCCATTTGTTCCATGATATTACACTGAACATTCTAGGTACATAACTTTTATTAAGAACCAAGGCTTCCTTTTAAAGATTTACTGCTAGAAGTATAGGCAAAGTACTGAATGAATGGATAGATGTTCCTTTCATGACCTTGAACTCTTGCTTCTCCTATCCCTACCTCACAAGCCACCACACACCCTTGATTACATATTTTACAATAATCACTCATGTTAATTGTAAAAAAACAACTCCAGTACCGTTTAATGAGAAAAGCATTCAGAAACCAATGGCCATTTTCAAAACATAGGACTGCTTATTATACCAAATAGTTTTATCACCAAATTCTGGCTGCATGTAGTGGTACACAGTTAACATCTACACTGAGAAGTCGGTGGCAAGCACTGTGCTGTGAGTTAAGAGGCCAGCCTAGTCTATATAAGGAGCCAACCCTGTAACAAAACCCTGTCTCCTGGTCTACAAAAGCTAGTTCCAGGACAGTCAGGGCTACACAGAGAAACCCTGTCCTGAAAAAATAAAAGTAAATTATTGAATGAATGAATAAATGAACGAACAAACAAACAAACAAAACCCTGTCTCAAACAGTTTTTTGGTTGAGGCTAGAGGATTGCCCTAAATTTCACACCAGGACAGTCTCCAAAGCTATAAAGAGAAACCCTGTCTCGAAAAACCAAAAACAAGCAAGCAAACAAACAAACAAAACCCTGTCTCAAATAGTTTTTTGGTTGAGGCTATTGCCACTAATTTCACACCAGCCCTAGCAATGAAGTAAATTTCATACCAGCTGGGGCAGAAATAAGACTGACTCAAAATTCACCTGTCTTCCTCTCTCCATTGCATCATTTCCTGTGCACTAATAAGCATATATATTTAATGTTAAAAGTTGGTTTTGTACTGAGATTACAAACCACCAAAGACAACATTTCTTCTGCTACAACGGAGGTATAAGTTACCTAGGAGAGGTTGTTCTTTTTGACATCAGCAGTTTAAAACACAGCCTGAATTTTCAAGTTACATCAAGGGTCCATATTTTATACTAGTGGTATTTTCCAGGAATGTGAGTGCTACAACACAGGCCATGTCTGCTTTTAATTAAAACAGGGGGAAAAAATGTAACAAAATTATAACATTTGCCATCTATTCCAAGAACTCACAGCTTTTTTGAGAGCGCTTTTACAAAATAACTACAGATCTTAAATTTGAAAGACATGGACTTTAATGGGTACTTCCAAAGAGCAATATATAAAGCCAGGTACATAACAGACATAACCATTAACTGAGTCATCAGAAACTGCAAAATCAACATGCCTTTCATCAAAACACTTAGGAGGCTGAAGCAAATGTTACTGGGGATTTGAGAGTAACTGGTCTACAAAGTGAGTTCTAGTCCAGCCTGAACTAGTTATGGTAATGAACGAAGGCCTCTGCCCTCAGCCAAGTGTCACCCCAATAACAACTGACTTGGCTGACAACAGGTTCTGAAATCAACCACAGTAATGAAATAAGACCTGAGCCGCCTTAGTCAAAGCTGAAAGCAAGGCACTGCAGTACGGGACAGTACTATCAACTATTTCCACTGACTTCAGAACCAGCACTTTTATTATTTTCACATATTTGCCTTAAGCCAATCAAAACCCTCCAATATTTAGAAAACATTAGATTTTAAGATCCTACTTTTCTCCAGTTTTATGGATTTAAACAGATTGTTGGACTTAGCACAAAGCTGTCATCTGCTTAAGCCTCCCAAGTACTGCAATTGCAGGCACAAGTCACCATGTTCAGTGTCCAATCATTAACATTTTAAATTACTGACATTCCAACGACCCTTAAATATGTAAGTGGACTCCTGGCTACTTACAAGTTATACTTGGGGGGGGGGGGGTAGGGGAGAGGAATCCAAAGGCAATGTCATTCAACAACTGTGCTTTTAACCTTTAGACTTAAATCCTATTTAAACACTGTATTAAACTGATTAATTGGATTCATCACCCACATTTTGAAATTCAGAATTACACCCTGCAATACTCAGTAGTAGTTTAACGTGCTAAAACGGAGGAACATCTTCAGTTATACTCAGTTTGATCAAACTCCACTGTGTTCACACATGAAAAATACACTTTGCCACACCACTAGCCTTTTTTAGGCTAAGATGGCTCAGCCACTACAGCACTTGCTGCCCCTTCAGGAAATGAATTTGGTTGCCAGGGTAGCTCACATCTGGCTACAACTCTGGTTTTCCCAGGGATCAGATGCCTTCCTCTGGCTGTCATGGGCACCAGGTATGTACATGGCATACATATATACATGCTAGTAGAACACTCATGCACAGAAAAGGATGTTTTTAATTTTATTCATATGTGTGCATGCATGCACACACATATGCGTGCACCATGTACATGTAGAAGTCAAAGGGACAGCGGGGGGGGGGGTCTCTGCTAGAAAAAGGAGACCTTAAACTACAAAAGGCTTTACAATTGCAGTGTGAGTCTAAGAAGAGGTTAAACTAAGTTTGAAACTAAGATTACCCACTGATTTTATTCAGAAAATAGGCAAAATATATCCTTCGGGAAAACAAAATGCAGCCAGGCATGGTAGCAACCACCTGCAATCTCCGAACTCTGGAGGCAGAGGCGGCAGTAGGATCATAGAAGTTTGTAGGACAAACTGGCCAGCCTAACCAAGCCAGTGTCACCCTGCAGCCCCACCCCCATACCCAGGCCAGAGATGCTCATGTGTGGCAGGCACTTCTTCCCTGAGCCAAGGCGTCAATCCTGCCTCAATGCCTAGAGACTGCTGACCCAGAGATACCCATGAGGAAAGGACAGCACATCAGAGTCAACAGCCTGAGCCAACAGGACCTTGGGAGGGGGTGTAAGGGCAGGTCTAACTTCGTGAATAAATGAGTCTACAGTCTAAGTAGTCAGTGTTGCATCTTCTCAACCCCTACTCTATAAGGGGTGACCGAGCAGGGTAACTTGCAACAGAAGTTTAAACCTAGCCTGGGAAACACCAAGACTATCTCAAAAACAGATAAAACGTGAAGTCAGGCACTATTTAGTAAAATTTACAAACTGTTTAATAATATATCCTTTTTTGTACTAGACAAAAACATACATATAAAAAGGGCAGTCTCAAATTTCTTCCACGTTTAGGTTTCAATGTATATGATTAAACCAGTTATCTCTATAGACGTTTTATAGTATAATCTGCAATGCGCAATGAAAATATCCAGGCTAACTCTCCATTAAGAAGAAACATAATGAGGCACATTTTCCAGTGGCTGGGATCCTCTTCCAAACCAAAAGAAAAAGGAAAAAAAAAAAAAAAGAAAAGAAAAGAAAAAAAAAAAAGTAGTGGTATGTAGTATTTTCTGGTTCCAATAATTTTAATTACTCTGGACACTTTAGAAAATATACTCATGTTTTAGCTAAATACAAAACTATCTGTTGCTTTATTTGTAGATAAAGACTCCTACAAATATGCACAGTAAGTCCATGAAGCACTTTTAACTATCCATATGGATATTTTGATATTAAATATATACAAACATTGCTATTAAACAAAACAATGGTATTCACAAGAAGCTGCAGAAATGCATGCAATCAATGAAGGTTGAACTTTATAAATTAAAGTCTTCTATACACAATGTACAAACAGTCATGCATTTAAAAGTGAACACTATACCTCATAAGAGCACATTTTCACAGGAATATGCTGCTGCACAAATATTTGTCAATGCCAAATAAATGGAATGTTAGTAACTTAAAAGCATTGTTATTTTACGCCCAGCAAGCTGAAACTTGGTCCTTCTACAGGTGTTATCTGAAGGAAAAGCTCTCATTGTTTTGCATCTCAGTACAGGTGTTTCACCTGGCACAACACATATAAATATTTTGAAAAAGTATAGACACCTTTATCAGTTCAATATATTGTAAATAAAACTTTTCTATCTTACTTAAAATATTTGTATTATGAACTACACCAAAATATGCATGAGTTAAAGTATTGAAAAAAAAAAGTATGTATATCTCGTTTGCTTTCAAGTTTCAGTAACATTTATATTTCTTAAAAAACTATGTATACTGGCCAAGAAAATACAGTAGGGAATTATCTTTACTAACGAACTTATAAAACTGCCCTAATAATTCATTGTCCTTCGGGATTTGATATTTTATCGACTTTGCAAAGTTTCCTCTTTAAAATGTTGCAGGTATTTCTAAAAGCCAAAAAAATAATAATAATAAAATAAAATCTGCTGGTGGAAAAAAACTTTACATTTCTCTTAAAATACTAAGAATTTTCATGGGCTGGTGATCTCCAACGTGACTGTAGATTTCTTATTATAGAGTTTGCCATGGTACCAAGTTTCTCATGCATTTCAAAAAGCTGGCTTCCAGAGTAACTGTAGAGATCTTCTGAATCCAGTTGAAGAGCAAGAGCACTAATTTGTGCCATAAGATTTTTAGACAACGGGGTGTCTAAAGTCACAGGATCAATCAAATCTAAGAGAAAACAAAACACATTAAATCTATACCAGTTTAAAAAAAAAAAAAAAAAAAAAAACGATTTGTATCTCCAAACAAATTGAAAAGGAGAAAAAAGGCTAAGTACACTTGTTCAAGAAAACAAAATGCCAAAAAATACTGTTATTCTGTGTGATGTAACTGAACAAAAATTTAATGTACTTATTCTATACTTTGAAGGACTAGAAGACTGACACAATAATTAGAGAAAACCAAGTAAGACACACCTAAAATTATAGGTTTTCTTCCCCCATATACTCAGCATGAAGGATGGGACACAATTGGGTGAATTAACAGTCCGTTCAAATTAATATTGGGCTGGGAAGATGTCTTGGATATTAAAAGCCTATTCTTCTACAGGAGCAATATTCTTCCCAGCATCCATATGGCAAAACACAGCTGTTTCTAATTCTAGTTCCAAATACATACAAATACATACAAGGCAAAAATGTAAATGGCAAAAATAAACATAAAAAAACCTTTTTTCACATTGGTGGCACATACCTTTAATCCCAGCACTCCAGAGGCAGAGGCAGGTGGATCTCTGTGAGTTCAAGGTCAACTTGATCTATAGACTGAGTTCTAGGACAGGCTCCAAAGCCATAGAGAAACCCTGTCTTGAAAACCCAAAAGAAAAGTAAACCCCCCCCCAAAAAAAAATTTCCCTCCCTAATCTAAGGGTATGAAGAAAGTTAAATTTTTCCAAAAAAGTTTTGTCCTTCAAATGCAACTATCATGCTTGGCTAACATACCTGAGGCAAGCCTTTCTTCATCAGTTGAGAGGGGCTTGCTTTCTACTCCATTTACTGCCTTCTCAGAAATATCAAAAACTGGAATATCTTCAAGGCCACGAGATTTCATCTTGATCATACATTTATAACAGTAACAAAGAGAAATAAAACTTATTTTTAACTGAAATGCCCAGTCTATAATCAACACAGTTAATACTGTTTAAAAAGCCCACTCCTACTCAATACACAAAAACAGTATCCCAGCAGGCATGGTAGAGCAATTCCGTAATCCCAGCATGCTGGGAACAAATGCAGGGGGTCAGGCCAGCCTGATCTCTATAATGACTTCCAGGCCAACCAGGGAGATATAGGGAGTCTCAGCCCAAAGTATTTCTTCAAAGAGCACAGAAATTTATACTATATAATTGATATATATAATTTATGATATATGATTGGTATAGTTGGTAAAACTAATTACCCAAGCTCAGAATTTGTAAAACAGCAACTCTTAGCAAAACTAATTACGGATAAATAATCAGTGGCTATCTTTTATTTTCAAAGCTACAGAGAGCTCACTGGCAGAACACTGCCCAGCATGAACACAAGATCCTGGACAAGGATGGAAATCAGAATAAACTCTCATAAGGTGTTTCCAGGTTTGATAGATCACTGCTCAAAGAAATTACTACGACCATCAATCCTATAGAACAAACAAGATGAAAAAACAGCCACGTAAAAACTTTGGTATCAACAATTTTAGAAGGATTTCTTATGAAAATCAAAGGAGAAAAGCAAGCGATAACCCCATCCGTACAGGAATGAATAAAGAAAATGTGATATCCATGGAATATTGTTCAGCCATAAAGAGAGTAAGATTCTGACATATAATAATATATTAAAAACCTAGAAAGTAAAGTTTAAGCAAAGAAGTTAACAACCAGAGTTGGTGGTGTTCTAATATTTAAAAGTTCCAGAGTAGGTAAGACTATAGAAAAAGCATAAATAGTGAGTACCTAGAAACAGCGGGTAGAAATGAAGCATGACAGATAATGAGTTCAGGTATTCCTTATTTTGGAGTATTTCTAAAATTACATAAATCATAGGAATGGTATAAATCTAATATATTAGACTGCATGTGTCAAATTTTATTTATATGTGTACTAAATATTAAAGCTATTTAGAAATGTACATAAACAAGAAACCTTTTAATATATAAATCTAAGGATGTAAATAAAATTTTTCATAGCTAATTCTAGAGCCTATTAATAATTCAAAAAATAAGAAACCAGCCATGATGGCACACACTATTAATCCCAGCACAAGGATGGCAGAGGCAGGTGAATCTCTGTGCGGCCAGTCAGATCTACATAGTAGACAGCCAGACCTACATAGTAAGACCCCATCTCAAAAAAAGGAGAAGAAAAAAAAAAAAAAAAAAAAAAAGACTTTTTAAATAAAGATGTCACTATTAACATTATTAGCATTTTCACTGATTTAATTATATCATATGAACATATATAGAATGTGTGTATGAATAAAAGGTGTATCTCTCCCTCTCTTCTTCTCTCTCAAATGTGCTTTGGACACAATCAGCTTGTTCCAAGGAATCTGACACACTATTCTGGTATCTTTTAGAGTTCTGCATGCACATAGTGTGCATGCAAACATATAAACTGAAAGCTTTTAAAAAGAGAAAGTATTTCAGAAATTCTACCTGAGATTGCAAATTAACAGTATAGTTTATAGGTTTTGCTTGCTTTAATACAATTAACCCATGAACAAAATGTTTTTAAGCATCATAAACAATACAAAAAACAAGTAATTTCAAAAATACAGTGCACATAGCATATACCCTGAATATGTGGCAATGAGGAATCCTAACAGACAATGATTTTCATCCATTTACCCACAATTTCTAATACTATCAACAAATAGATCATGACCCCTCATATATTTATCAAGTGAACATTTTCATGGGGGTGGGGGGGGGGAGAGACACACGCATGTAGTTTTAGAATCTAAATAAAATCTGTCCCTGGATGGATGGGTGGGTGGGTGCGTGAGTAGGAGGGGAACAATTAGGAAAGTTTATACTATGTATAAAAAGTTAAAACTTGATGTCTCAACTATACACATACATTTAAAAAAAAAAAAACTGATGTATAAATCTGCAATAGTTTTAGACATATTTGAATTTGAGCCTTTAGGTTTTAGGAAAGCTGTAGCCATGGAACCATGAGTTGGTGGAAATGAAAAAGGAGAAAAGATTAACAGATTCTGAAAAAATAAATTTAAAAGTGAGTCCCGGGTACAGTATATAAAAAACAGAACTAAATAAAAGAACAAACTTCCCAGTCTAGATAAAAGTTTTTTATTGCTGTTGGTGAGCACTTTCGCTGGGTCTTTCTTTCTTTTCTTTTCTTTTTTTTTAAAGGCAAGATCTTGCTCTGTGGTCCAGACTATAGTCAAAAAGTATTGATTCAATTGTCTGCTTCCTAAGTACAGACATTAGCGAGGCAGACACTGCTCCCACCTGGATCACCTACTAAAAACATGATTCTTAGGCTAGAGAGAGCTCAGCAGTTAACAGCACTGGTTGCTTTTCCAGAGAGCCTGGGTTTGTTTCTCAGTCAGAACCCACAGGGCTGCTCACAAACATTTGTAACTCCAGTTCCAAGGGATCCCATGCCCTCTTTCTGGCCTCTGGCCTCTGTAAGCACTGCACACATGTGGTACACAGACATGCATGCAGGAAAAACACTCAAATAACAAGTTTTTACCTGTTGCTCATGGTATACCCTGAGAGCCTTTTTTACATTAAACACCTTTGGAGAGCGAATGGGAAGAGTTTTTATTTCAGATGCAGTAAGAGTACTCAAATCACCAATCGTTTTTATATTCTTGGCTCTGATAAGTTGTCCTAGACCTCTTGCCCTTTTGAAGAGAAAAAGAGAAAACATAAGTATTCTTTTATTGATTGTACCTACCTGTGTTTACTTCTCCACTTAAACTCAAAGAGTTTATTTATATAGTCCACATAATGTAAAATATCTGGAGAATTCAAAATAAAATTTGAATCCTAATGTGTATCTGGGCTTTAAAAAAATAGTGGAAATCTAATGATTCTTTTTATTCCACACTTTAATAACATAGGTATGTTCTCACTGTTGCACTTATATAAATAGTCACAGCAGGGATGGAAAACTCACTTTCACACCAGCTTTCTATTTATGGCTCAGGTCCTTCATCAGCTATAAGCTATTTTCAGTTTTTTAACCTGTCTTATCCTAGACCTTTTTAATGTGACTTCCTTCTAAGCTTATCTATGTACATGTCTGACACACTTCTTTAGAAGAATATTAAGAAATGTCTTACTGGGGAAGTATGCAGTTACATGTAATAATTCTCTTAAGATTTGGTAGTCTGGGGCTAGAGAGACAGCTCAGAGGTTAAGAGCACTGCCTGCTCTTCCAAAGGATCTGAGTTCAATTCCCTGCAGCAACCACATGGTGGCTCACAACCATCTGTAATGAGATCTGGTGCCCTCTTCTGGCTGGCTGGCATACATGCAGACAGAACACTACACAGTAAATAAATAAATCTTAAAAAAAAAAAAAAAAAAAATTGGTAGTCTGGGCCTGGAGAGAGTGCTCAGTGGTTAAGAGCACTTATTGCAATTTCAGAGGACCCAGATTCAATTTTCATTACCCACATGGCAGCTCACTGGAATGAATACAGTTCTAAGTAATACCCTCTTCTTCAGGTTTCTAGGGGTACCATGATCACACTCATACATAACTCATACATAAACTCAAAAATATGTGAATTACAAGACAAATAACGAACAAGATTTAATTGAAGCACAAACAGAAGCTCTTCAAGGAGGTCTCTATGTGAATCTATATGACAACTTATTTAGCTATGCAATTTTCATGAACTAATCTTTCTAATCTTTCATTTTTTACAATACTTACAATCCTCAGAGGGTTTACAATAAGACAATACAAGATATGTATGCAAAAAGATGCAAGTACTTGTTCATATTAGGATTTATGCATGGCTTTACTTCTGAAGTGAAATGTGTAAGAAGTAAATGCCAATTAATTCTAAACATTACAAGCTTAACCACTAAGACATTCCTCATAAGCCAGGCCTAGCAATACAGTACTGTAATACCAGATAATATGAAGGAAGGGAAAAAGAGAATCCAAAATACAACGACACTTTAGGACACAGAGCCTGTGTGTGAAGCATGTAGTTCATACAGGAAAAGCTCATTAATGTATTTTATTTTTTTTGTGTCCCTCCTCATTAAGTATTAATGTGAATTTAATCCTTATGGATCAAAAATCCACAGAGTAACAAAGAGCTCAGACTGACTTCAAATTTGATGTGCAGTAGAAGATGCCCTTGAGCTGGTCCTTAAGGTTCAGAGCTCAGGATGACCTCAAGCTGTGTAACCAAGAATGCTTTTGAACTGGCCCTACACTCCTGGCACCAGCCCAGCACCTGGCTTATACAGTACTGAGAACAGAACTCATACCTTCATTAATGTAAGTACTCTACCAACTGAACTTGAACCCTAGCACCAGATTACCCCCATCATTACTACAAAAAAAGAAAAAGAAAAAAGAAAAAAAAGCTGCATCCCAAGCAGGCTATTAACTGGTAGTCCTCCTGCTTCAGTTTCCTTAGTAGCTTAGACTCCCCTCAACAAACTGGGAAATCTTAGCAAAACTATGCCTCAAAACCACAAAGTATGAACCATAAACTTAACCGCTTACCACATGTTTGATGTAATTTGAGGTAAAATAATGTCAACAGATGCTGCACAGTTCACCAAAGCTGGGTAAACACTCTCTGTTGTTGGGGATAGCATGGATTCTTTAGCCATTTCTGTAACCTTAGAATAAATTTCAAAACCTATTAAGCAACAGAACTGAACAATAAAGTATAAAGTTACATAAAAACTAAAGCACTTCTTACTAAACACTTCTTTGAGCTCTTAAATTTAGAGCTCTGTGATCCTGGGGACAGAAATCCTTTGATTGAAGTGGTGTTATGCTAGATAGAAGTACAGAGGGGAAAAAAAAAAAAAACTCAGAACCCCAGACAACTATAAATGTTACAACTTAAAACATACAACTAAAATTGTGGTCACCTCTGTAAAATTTTAGGAAATGAAAATGAACAGGATAAACTAATGATTTACCTGTGGGATAGCTGATTAGCATGAAAAAAATTCAAAGCAGTCTGTTTCTTAATCTTCAAATACAAATTTGTATACAGATATATATAGATTTTAAGTCCATAGCTTACCTTAGTGTGTGAAGTAGGTGAAGTTTTAACACTTTTTATTATGGGAGAGCTATTTGAAGAATGAGACCTAACAACAGAGCAACGCCTATCAATGTCATCTGCCAATCCTGCTTGGTATATTGGGTCTGCAAAGGAGACACGTCTAACCTGAAAGTACAGGACAAGTTTTCATTAAGAAGACAACACCCCACCTAATGTGTTGAGTTTGTGCAAAAGCAAGACAGTGTTTGCAAACAAACTTCTTGCACAGTTGTTGCTTCGTTCAGATATTATTCATTCTAACTATACTCTCCACTATCTCTGCAGTGACAGAAAACTTTAAACAAACTCTTCTAAGTTAACAAAGTACAATATACAGAGTGTGGTGGTACAAACCTTTAATGTCAACACTCAGGAGGCAGTTTGAGGCCAGCCTGGTCTACATAGTATAGACTTGCATGTTCCAGGCCAGTCAGGGCTATATAGTGAGACCCTGTCTTAAAAACAAAATAATTAAAAAAAAAAAAAAAAAAAAAAAAAACCACAGGAGTGAAATCCCAGCAATCTGGGGGCTGAGGCATGAAATCTCCAAATTAAAGCCAATCTGGAGCTACATAGTGAGACATGTATCTCAAAAACCAAAACAAGGGCCAAAGAGACAGCTTAGTGGTTAAAAGCACTAGCTACATAACCTTGACAGCCAGAGTTCAAATCCTAGCATCAACATAAGAAGCCTGTTCTACAAAAGTCTGTAACTCCTGCTCCAAGGGTTCTGATTTGCCCTCTTCTGGCTTCACCAGGAGCACTGGCTTATGCATACTCACACACGTTGTGGTTATTCCTTTACACTATAAATATGAAGATTTATTATTATGGTTGGTTTAATAAAAAGCTAAATGGCCACTAACTAGCTGGGCAGAAGGTATGACAGGACTTCTGAAAAGGGAAACTCTGGGAAGCAGAAAGGAGAGTTGACAGCCAGACATAGAATAATCAGGATTGAGCATAATGGAGATGAGTGTGTGGAAGAATGTAGATTAAAAAATATGGGTTAATTTAAGTTCTAAGAGTTGCTTAGAAACAAGACTAATTGAAGGCAAGGCTTTTAATAATTAATTCATCTTTTGTGAATTGGTCGCCCAAAAAGTCTACACACACACCAGTAAGAATCCTGTATAATTTGATTTCAGTTAGCCAGTGGGTTTACAAATAGACAGTAATAACTAACTTATATATCTGATTTAAGCAACCATCCTAAACGTGTTTGTGAATGTGTAATATATGTATACAGACACATATGTGCATGAAGAATCAAAGGACAACTGGAAGAGAAGGAGGTCATACCTTATGTGCTTGTTGTACAACTTTTGGTGAGATGGCACATCTCATTGGCCTGGAACTCCCTAAATAGACTAGGCTACTGAGCAGAAGACCCAGGAATATATTTATCTCTACCTCCCCAACACTGGGTAGCACATGCCACCCAAGTCCAGGATTTTTCTTAAATGTGGATTCTGGGAATACAACTTGGGTCCTCATGCCTGCCTTGCAAATCACTTTACCAACTAAACTAACTTCCTAGCCCAAGTATCATGTTAGCAATTTTAACTATATTAACCTCATTGTGTCTAATTTGGCTTCTTCTCAGGGTCTACAATATGTTCACATTCAGTTATTAGCTATAAATATATAACAGAAGTCATTCCACATCACCTAGGATTGACTTTCAAGAATGGGCAGCACATAAATATCTGTCATAAAAACAATGTTAGCCTGTTTTATCTTAAGACAGACAATAGATCTGCCCTCACTGGTATAACAAAATTTTAATCTCAGCATTTAGGAGGCAGAGACAGAAGGATCTGAGTCCCAAGACAAGACTACATAAGAGACCCTGTTTCCAAAAAAAACAAAACAAAAAAAAAAAAAAAAAAGCACAAGCCTTTGGTCCCAGCACACTGGGGGGAGAGGAGACAGAGGCAGAGTTTTAGACCAGCCTGGTCTACAAGAGCTAGCTCCAGGACAGCCTCCAAAGCCACAGAGTAACTCTGTCTCGAAAAAAAGAAAAAGAAGGGGGGTGGGGGATGGGGGAGAGAGAAAGACTACCAAACAGTAGTAATTGCTAGTTAAGCCTTTGGAAGAATTCTGCAGCAGTAAATCAAACTCCAAGTGTTGTCTCATCTGGTTATTACCTCCTTACCCTTTGCAATCTACAATAAACCTGTTTTTCTAAGAGAAATAGAAAGGGGGGGGGGGAGGCTTATTTACAGCTACTGAGATGTGAACTCCAGACCAGCCAGGGATGCATAGTGAGGCTCTTTGATATAAAACAAAGAAAGCCAGCCGTTGCTGACACAGGCCTTTTAATTCCCAGCACTTGGGAGGCAGAGGCAGATGGATCTAGTTCCAGGACAGGTTCCAAAGCAATACACAGAAATCCTGTCTCAAAAAAACAAACAAAAAACCTTGTAACTGTTACATCTTCCTAAATGACTTCATCTTTTAAGTCTCAGAAGCAGTTTTCAATGTATCTTCCCAGTTTGTAAAGCAAGGCCAGAAGGAGGATCTAACAGAGTTCATGATGCAGCTGGGCGGTGGTGGCGCATGTCTATAATCCTAGAACTCAGAAGGCAGAGGCAGGTGGATCTCAGTTCAAGGCCAGCCCACTCTACAGAGCAAGTTCCCATAACAGCTAGCTAGGGCTACACAGAGAAACGCGGAGGAGGAAGGGAGGAAGGAAAAAGAAAGCTAAAAGAAGAGACAAAAAAGCAAACTGCACTTACACAAGGTCCTAGCACCCACATCAACCAGCTTACAACTTGATGCCTCTGGTTTTGATAGTCACCTGTACTCCTGTGTACATATCATAATACAGATAACTAAAAGTATAAATATCTAAAAAAAAATGTACTTGCTGGCCAATCACAAGACTATGCCACCAGACTATAACCCTAGATAGCTGAGGCATAAATGACAGTTCATTACAAGGTCAGCATGGATGACATAGAAAGGTCCCCACACCCAAGAAAAGGTAAAGATCAAACAAAGCACCATGTGCTCACTCTCGGAATCTCTCTCTCTCTCTGTGTGTGTGTGTGTGTGTGTGTGTGTCTGTCTGTGTCTGCCTGTCTCATAATTCAATTTCTTTAACAGAATTAGAGTGACCATTAAGACATCATGTCCAAGTATCTATAAGTAAGTGCTGAGCCTTCTCAATCAACAGCAATCAATGCTGCCTGCCTGGCTTCTTAAATCTTAAATTATAGAAAAAAAGGTCCTAATATGACCCAGTCATTATGCTTACAGTGGACCCCATACACACCTGCATCAAGTTCTTCAGTATGAGACCCAAGACTACATGAACGATTCCTGTCCTTTCCACACCAACCATGGCAAATAATCAGTGAGTGGCCACCACCCTAATACCCTATCCTTTGCTAGGTTTCACCGATAATACAAGCAAACAATAGATTGATTACAGTTACCATCATTCTTACCTTGTTAACTGGTGATGAGATCTCATCTTCGTGGGATCTTTTAAGTCCTCTCTTTAAAATGCTTGTGGATGGTGAAGCCAAAGGAGACCAGACACAGCGTGCCTGCATACCACTAGGACTTTCATTTGCTGATCCAAAGGAAGGATCCAATTCTCTCAATTTTTCAGGAGAAGCATTATTGTTTTCTGATACTAGTTCAGAAGTCACTTCAGATGTCAGAGACTGTGGTAATTCCTCCACTTTCTCTGAAGTAAGACAAACTTCCTGCAGATTATCATTATCCACTCCAGTTGGATTGCCACTTAATTCTGTCTCGTCCAATTTATCAAGCTCAATGTTTCTTTCAGTTTTGTGATAAACACTTCCTTCTTCAGAACTCTTTTCAGGTGTGTCACAAACAAAGCTTTCAGTTTTGACATCTGGTCTTCCAACTGGTGCTTCTTCAGATGTAGAAGTACTAACAATCGTGTCCCTATTGTTTGCCCCAGTGTTGTCAATTTCAGCCTTCAACTGAGCTGATACTGCTGTTATGTAACTTTCTGTTTCTTTGTTCATTTCCTCACATGAGCTTGAATCAGATTCAATGCTATCTACCTCGGATTCCACCCTTGCTGGATGCTCAGTCTGAATACTCTTGCTTACAGGTGAGATTTTATCAGAAAAACCCACATCAGAATTCAAGCCCTCAGTGGCTGTTCCTTCAGCATTCACTTCAGGTGTGACTGCTTCAAAATCATCTTTATTTTCTTCCTCCGTTGCCATATCTACAGAAACATCCAGTTGGCCACTCTTCTGTTCAGAGAAGGAAGCTCCAAACGTGTCATCTCCTACATTTAATTCCATAGCTTCAAGCCCCTCTGAGTTGGATCCAGCTATTACTTTGCATACATTCCCTACATCATTGATGTCAAATTCTCTTTTCAGAACAGCGCCTGGACTTTCTACTTTGTTATTTGAAAAATATTTCTGTGAAGTGTCCTTAGAATCACTTAAGCATGGGTCTTCAGCATTAAATGCCTCTTTACATGTCTCTTGGATTTCAGATACTGTTTCACTAAAATCTTTATCTACTATTTCAGATGGGAGAATGTTTTTCCTATCTTCTTCCAATCCAGTTTCAGACATAATTAAGTCACCAGTAGTAGCATTCTCTTCTTTAAGACCCAAATAAAAATTCATGCTAGGTTGTTCATCTACCAACTTTGTTTCAGTGTCATGCTCATTAGCATCACAAGTTTCATGTGTAGTCTCATGTGCTTGCAAATCTGTCTTTGTCTCCATGTTCTTCACAGCACAATTCTCTGTGTTCTTTAACCCAATAAATGACTTTTCCTGGGATAGTGATTTTTCCCCACAGCAGTCACAGCTCTTAGATCTCCTGACTCTCCTGCTTCTCTTGTGTTGGCATTCAACTGCTTGGGCCCATTTCTCAGAAGGCACGGAAATGTCTGATGTCTCCACTTTTGAGCATTCACCCACAGTATCAGAATCTCGTTTATGTAATCTCTTACTGGCATTCCTAGTCCTGAGATTTGATTCAGGCACAGGTGGACTTGCAAATGAGTTATTTACACATTTGCTAGTCTTACTTTTGTCCTCACCTGTAACTGGTGTATCAGTAACTTGCAGTGAATCTGAAGAACCAGTGGCCTCCTGAAGGATGACCCTGTTTGTACTTTCTTCACAAATCTGAGCCACTGCATCTACATCAACTTCAGGAACTGTCTGGCCATCATATGTCTCATTTGCAGTTTTTATACATTCCTCTTGGACCATTTTTTCTTCTTGCTCTCCAATGTCAACACTATCACTGCTTTTATTTTTCCATTTTCCAGATCGTTTCTTCCTAGAAATTTCTTCCTTTGCCTCAGAACTATCAGATTCTGAGTTTTCAACATTTGAAAGCAACCCCTGAGATGCTCTTCTCGTCTGGTAACGTGTACGTCCTCTCAAAGGCTTCTCAGATGACTTATCTACATTGTCCTGGGTACCACCTCCCTCAGAACTAACATCCTCATGGTCCGATTTTCTTTTATTTTGGCCAATTTCAGCATTAACATTGGGTTCCTCTATAGTTTTCTCATCATGTAAACTATTTCCTTTTTCAGTTAAGTTTTCCTGTACAGGTAACTCAGCAGGTAGTTTTTGCTTGGGCAACTTGTCGTCTTTTATATGCAATGGACTCTTTGGAACTGTTTTTTCTTCTTCCTTCCGTCTTTCCTTTTTTGGTTGACCATTATCCTTATCTTGGCTGTCAGTTGAAGACTCTATTTCTGCACGCCGCCTTGAAGACCGTCTGAGGGTTTTTGGATTTGCAGCTACTGCAGCTTGACTATCTTCGTTTACTATTTGATCTGCTAGTGTTGCAACTGGGGGTGTGTTTTCTTTAGATTCCATATTAATGCCTACGTTTTTCTCTTCTGTATTTAAGTCTTCCAATAAAGAATTTTCAACTACTGGTTTAGGAGTTCTATCTTCATGCTCTTGGACGGCTTCAGAAGGATGATCGTGATTTTTTGACTCACATTCTCTTTGACTGAGCAAGTCAGGAGACTTATTTTCTGATACATGTTCCTCCTGTTCAGATCTCAGGGAAGGCTTAGACTTTTTATTAGCTGACTGCTCAGCTTTACTCCATCTCCGGCCTGATTTCTTACTTCCATTAACTAATTTTTCTGAATCAGATTTTGAGTGAGTAACTTCTCTTTTCCTTGCTTTTGGTGGTATATCAGTTTTAGTTGTGTTTTCCTGGTTATTTCTCACTGTAACAGTGGAGGACATGTTATTCAAAGGGGATGGGCTAAAAGGTCTATTTTCTGAACCATCAAATTTCTCCAAAGTAATAAAGGTTTGCCTCCGACTTGTAGGCTGTGGAGGAGTTCCAGAAACAGTGGCATTAGAAACTGAACTACTGTTGAGCACCAGTGGACTTTCTGTACTAGATGAACATTCAGCTTTTGTCTTTGACGAAATTAACATATTTTTTGTAGCATCAACATCAGAGCTCAGCATTTCTGAATTGGTTTCAGCAACAGAACCACAGTCATTTGGTAAGGATTTTTTTTCAGGATGTTCATCCACATCACAGTTTTCCATGGCATCTTGAGGGGTGAAAACTGCACTCTCCATTTGCTCCTCCTAAAAACAAATTACATACTAAGAAATTACCTTAGGAAATTTAAATATAATACTGTAATAACTAAGATTTTCTTGGGAAACAAGTATAAACTCTGATAATTCAATATACTTCCAAAGCACTGCAAATGTTCCCAAAATATCAGCAAACAACTGTCTAAACTGCTAGTGTTAGCTAAAGCCACACTGGAGGCCAAGACTGCTTGGTAGGCAGAGATTAAGAGAAACCATAAAACTACAGCTCCATAGGAGCTACAGGCCATCCTGGACTACAGGAGGCACTACTTTGATCCCTTCAACTCCAGGTGCCACTTACAATGTATTTGAACTACATGTATCATGTACAATTCTGTTATAAATGCATGGTTCAGAACTAGGAGATTATTATAAATTGTAATTAATGAAACAAAGATCTAAGAAATGTTACACTTTTCTACATCTCATAACAGTAGGATGATTATAAAAACACTGAAGTATCAAACAATGGTTATACCTTAATTATCCTGGTATCTTCTTTTGATTTTTCAGTTAAAGTGGGGCTTTCCCTAAGAAATACAATTATACACATATTAGATTTTTTAACTATATAATTAAGAAACTAATCATAAAAGTTATGTACTCACATAGATTCTTCTTGACTAAACTGAGCAGAAAATAAAGTGTCTTGTGAAGCATCCAGATTATTATACAAGGCAGGAATATCACACCTGGGGGCGGGGGGAGAAATGTTATACATAAAATTCCCAAAACCTGGTGATATTCCCAGCCAAGTTATGGCTGGCTGGTAGTGGCACACCATCTGTCAACTATCAAGATTTCCGAGGCACCAAAAAACAAAAAAGCCAATAGGTATGATGACATCTTAGTTCTCACAACAAAGTTGCATAGAGCTCAAGATAAAAAGCCCACAAACCGTTTTGTCTTAAGAACTTCTTTCTGGTGCTCAGTCAGAACCCTTGCCTTTGCCTCTTTTCCTTCTGGAGGTATGAACACAAAGTCCGTAGACTTTTCCTCTTCCAAAAGTTTACTGCTCTTTAGTTTTGGAGATGATGATTCTAGTTTCAGCTGTAGGTTTTTAAGAAGTAAATATATGAGTTTCCACATTATTTTCTAATTCTTGTTTTCTAACACTGATATTTTTTCAAAACTGACTAGAAAGTTTAAATTAACACACACCCGTATATATAATCTGTCTATTAAAGCAGTCCAGGTTGACCTGAACTTATGATTCTATCTTGACCTACAAAATGTTAAGATTACAAGCACAGAAACAATATTCACAATAAGAAATTAAATGTCCTATGTGTTCTCCTAACTCTAATATTCAAAAGATAAAAGTAGTAAGCTTTTTAGGAGGGAAGTCTATAGAGTTAGAGATAGGTGCTTTACCTAAGCAACAATTAAAGTTCTTCTAATCAAAGCACCTAAACTACTGTAATGTACTATGCTGTTTTCATTCTCTCTTCCTCAGGAAAGCTGCCCAAGATAACTAAATGTAATACTGAGAATGACCACGAGGCTAAGCATCATACAGATTTGCCACTCTGGGCTTCTTATCGACACACTATCACAGCTGTCACTATCATCCTAACACAAACCCAAAATTTACTTGGACTTCCATAGCTCTTTCCTCCAAATAAGAGTTTTTTGTGTACTTAAAATTCCAGTAAATATACTTTTGAAAACATACTTTGCCCGACAGCTTCACATTTTCTTTTTTATCCTTTGTTTGAGCCAAAAAGGAATCTCTTTTTCCACTTGATTTTCTTTCCATGCCACTTATCTTGACATTTAATTGTGAATTTTCTGCCTATTAAGTTAAAAATGAACACATCAAGTACATGCCTACTCTACTTGCTTCTCCTTTTCAGAGTATAAAAATTTGTCTAATGATTATTCGTTTTAAACAGTATAAATTTCTGACAATTTTAGTCTACTGAAAACAGGAATGCCACTATGCAAATATACTTACCTACTGCTATAGTCAAAATTCTTTCAGAAAAAAAAAAAAAACAAAAAACAAAAATCCCACAGTATTCCACTGTGTTTTTTTCTTCTGATTCTAAACACACTTATTCCTGAATGAAAAGCTTCATGTAGGCTAAGGAAAAGGTTGCGTTACTGAATTCTTTCCTGTTCAAGTTCTGATTATTGCTGCTCACTCATAACAAACTACTCAAATTTTAAAAAGTGGGGGGGGGGGAGAACCCCAACTTACAGCATCTGAATATGGTACACTGCATTCATCCATCATTTCAACATTTTCCAAACCAGGCAAGAGAAGCAAAGTCTTTTGTTTGGCTTGTCTTAATATCGGTCTGTAAAGAAAAGTGCACTGATATTTTAAAAAAGCACACCAGTAATATTAACAATATTACATTAATTTAATTATGGGAATGAATCCCTGGCTGGCCTCAAACTTGTGATTTAGCTCATTGACCTTGAGTTTGCAGCCATATCTAATTTATGCTGTGATGGTAATAAAGCCCAAGGTTTCGTGTATGCTAAGAAAACAAACACTATCATCAACATAGCACCAGTCCTGTTTATAATTTTTATGTAGCAACTATACCTGATTTGTGTCTATTTACACATATACAACACTTTTTCTCTATACTTTTCACATCACTTCCAATCTTCCTTAACTTTCAAGCAAGGCATAAATATGCTTTGTGACTATAATTCCATCACACTGGAAGGTGAGACAAATCACCTGGTATTCAAGACCAAACTATGCTACAAGTGTGAAACTTAAAAAAAAAAATTAAGAAACGGGGGGGGGGGGGGGGGGTTGTAAGTGGTACTTTAATCGCTAAATGCAGTGACACTTCCACAGGATCCAGGTTCAATTCCCAGCACCCACAACCAGTTCCAGGTGATCCAATTCCCTCTTCTTCCCTCCAAACCACCAGGTATGCACATGTCATATAGATGCACGTAAATGCACCTATACACATTTTTTTTAAAAAAAATTCAACAGTTTTTAAACTATCAGAAATTAATGAGGTGGCTCAGCAGTTGGATTAATAAATGATAAATTAATATATCACTACATTTCTCTTATCTAATATAACAAACAAGAAAAACTATATACAACAAGATCACTGACTTGCTCTTCCAAAGGATCTGGCAGCTTCACAGTCTAACTCCAGTACAAGGAAGCTGCAATTAGTAGTGCCCAGTAGAGACAGAGATCAGACATGAAAGTGATGTTCAGACACTCATCCAGAGGAAACACTCCTTCATATAAAGTATTTTCTCAATTTCTTTTTAGGATATGCTAGACTTTCTGGCATATGCTTTTAATTCTAGCACTCAGAGGCAGGGAGAAGTGAACCTGTGAGTTTGAGGACAGCCTAGGGTTATATAGCAACCCTGTCTAGCTTCATTAATAACCTTCAAGTCTATACCCTTGTTTATTTATGGAGTTTTCCAATGTATATACTGATTCCCAGAATGTTAAGTCTAACAGAAGTCAACCCAAGTTTAATGGCTACTACATAGTTTAAGAATACAATTAAGAAACTATATAGTTTACATGATAGAGCATGTAGCTATAGGAAGTTGTGATGCTAACTTACTTTAATTCCTCGGGATAAACGAGAGCTGTCGCTTTAGCAAATGTAGCATTCCACAACAAAGCACTCTGTTTCCGAATCTGTTTGTTCTTGTGAAGAAACACTATGCACAGAAGTGGAGAAAGCTGTCCAAGAAGTTCGCTGTCATAAGCTCCAGAGTAGTTGTACTGTAGACAAGCAACAACTTCTCCTAATAGCTTTTCTAACTAGAAAAGAATGGGAGAAGCAAAATGTATAAATAGAAATTTACAAACATGTTACTATTTCAATTTTTAAAATCTAGACCATCTTTAAACACCATGGTCACAACATACACTACTCTGTCAATGAACAATCAGGTAAATTTAAGTACTAATATTGTAATTTGAAGTTGTCTGTTAGCAGGCTAAAATGTATTGATAAATTGTAAATTACAGCCAACAATCATCACATTAAAAAGACCTGAGGAATTTCATGAATTTAAAATAGTAAATTCTAAAGAAAAAACCCAGCTCCCTAAGAATGTATCCATATATTATTTTATGACCATTAAAATACAGCAATGGGGCTAGAGGTTCAGTGGATAAGAGCACTTACTGTTCTTCCAGAAGACCTGTTTATTTAGTCCCAGCACCTGAACTATCTGTGCAGGGGATCTAATGCCTTCTTCTGACCTCCAAGGTAGCATATATTTACATAATTATACACACATGCACATATTTAAAAAAAAAAATTTTAAATGCGGCAAGATGACAAGGAGTGAAGGCACTTGCCATTAAAGCTGATAGGCATGTCAGTCACTGAAACCTACATGGTAAGAGAGTACCAATTCCCACACATCCTCAGACCTCCACTCACACCATGGCATACATACATGCACACATATATGCGCGCACACAAAATGTATATACAAATGTAAATAATAACCACTTAAAATCAATTATGTTTGAAATTGGTAACTGCATAAACCATATGCTGTCTTCATTGACCAATAAAAGGTATATTTTATGGACACTATCTACTTACCTTGCTGTTCAGACTACTATACACTTTAGGAACTTCATCAAGCCTGGGAAGACAGATATAAATTTGTTACCATTTATATTCTAAGATGGCATCACTTACACTAGTTATCAAGCTAATTCTCCAAGAGAACAAACATACACACAAAAACAAGGAGAACCATGCACATTGTAATGTGAAATATCCCAAGAATTACAAAAGATTGCCAAATATCAAGCACAAAGTAAACATATAAACATTAAGAAAATGAATCTTTAAAAGTGACCTCAAAGTGTTCATGGTAACTACTTGTCTATCATCCTGTCTTTTCTTTGTGCGGGGTTAGGAGTGGAAGCCAGGGCCTTTACTAAGCTATTTCACCATACCCACACATACTTTTTTTTTTTTTTTTAAAGTGTGGGCAGGTGCCTGGAGGCCAGGGAAAAGGCAGAAGTCAGAAGAGAATTACTTGAAGCTGGAAATACCAGCAGTTTAAGCCTCCCCATTGTGGATGCTGAAAGCTAAACTCCAACCCTCTGTAAGAGCAAACACTCTTAACTACTCAGCCATCGCTCTGGCTTCTGCCTGTACATTTTTTAATAAAATAATGATTAAACTATATAACAATCTGTGGCTGGGGGGGTTATGATGCACACCTTTAATCCCAGCACTCAGGAGACAGAGTCTCTGTGAGTTGAGGTCAACCTGGTCTACAAAGTGAGTTCCAGGACAAAAAGAACCTTAATCAAAAAAAACAAGGAACTTTGTTCATCAGACATAATGGTTAATACAAATAATGATATACATACAAATAATGCTTAAATGTATCTTGATACGAAAAGCTGGGTATAGAACCATAGAAGCCCACTGATCAGAAACTGGGATATGCGTTTAAGAGAATGAGATTTCTGTGTGTGTAATTGAATAGTGTTTAATTACATACTATCAAGTCAAACATCTATACTATACATTTAATAAGTATGTTTCTTTGCATAAACAACGAAAAATCACTTGCAAAACTGAAAAGTGCAAAGGGAGGAAAAAAAGTCAAATGAAATAGTTCTAAGCCCTATCTCAAACTTCTATATACTAGACTTATTCTAGTATACCATTCAGGACAACAAATCTGATAAGAAAGCAAGTTACTAATCATACGTAAATTACGCATTATCATGGCTGAGAAGACAGGCTCAGCTGGTTAAGTGGTTGTCACACAAACACAAGGACCTGAGTTTGATCCTGAAAACCTGAATGAAAGCTAAACATAAGGGCACACAGACTTACAACTGTAGGGCTAAAAAGGATACCTAAGTGCTTCCTAGAGTTTGCAGCTGGAATTGATGAGTTCAGGGTTAATGAGAGGCTGTCTCAGAAAGCAATGACAGTTAATAGAAGGCAGTCTATGACTTCTACATGTATGTGCATACATGTAAACATATTTATGAACATGTACACATAAAAAAATCATATATACTTGATTCAACATGGATAAGCTAAAAATACTTACTTTGAGTTTTCATACAATAAAGCCAGAGGTCTTGTAAAAGTTGCAAATATTTCTCGAATCATAGAAGGCAAGGAAATATGTCCAAATATATTGGAAAGCATGCTGATGATGGAGTTACCAATAGTAAGCAATGCATCAGAACACTTTTCCTTGAAGCTCATAGTGTGGAAAGAATGGATCACTCTCACAATTAGCTTAAATAAAGAAGCCAATTTCCCAAGGGGTTCCTTCTTCTTTCTGGACCAATCTGAAGATCTCTGTGGTGCTAAGACATAATTGGATTGATTACAAACTTAAGTACGTACTTTGGTATGTGTCACTATCACTTTTGTATTTTGCGTTCAAATGCTAAATACATCAACTATGTATGTTCTTGCTGTTAACTAAAACCTCAGATAAACCTTCAAATAATAAAGCATTACTGAATAAATATCACTAGAGTAGTTCTAGAAATGAAGATCAAATCCAACATGAGCTAGCAGATCTCAAATAAACCCCCCCCAAAAAATACATTTCAATTTCTTTTATTCCTCAGAATTTCAACAACTAGTTTATAATTACTAAATCACATGCATAATTGGCAAAGACAAATTATCATGAATTTTCAATAATTATAATAGAAATTAATCTTCCTAACTCATCTATATACAGTTCATTGATTCCTGCAAATGAGAAAATACAAACACTATTTTCTAGACTGTAATATTTACTTTAAAGTACATTTTCCTTTTCAGTTCCTCTTAGATCATCATTTCTCTCCAGATTCCAGGTACTAAACAAAGCCCATGTTTCTCTTGCCCTGAAAGTCACTCTTATTCCAAAATTATCTGTTTCTATAAAACAATCAAGTCTTAGAGAGCTCATATTTAAGGGTGGGGAAAAGTCTACCTCACACCTTACAAACCTCATGGTCAACTCAAACTAGAGTTGCTACTAAAATATATTCTCTCTAGGATCAGTTTCTTCAACATAAATACATGTTAAAAATGATATTCAAAAATTCTTGTATAAAATGTTGAGTCTGGGGTGCCAGGATATGGCTTTGGTAAGACAAGGGATGTCAGGAAGCTGTCCCAAAATTGTCTGACAAAATTTTATCACAAAAATTACCTGAGCAAACTTCAAAACCTGCAGCAAGGTCCTCACTTAAATTGGAGAGGTACAATGGCAGCAAGAACCATGAATCACCACATGACAATGAGAAGCATATCCACAGAAATAGGTAACACATATCACTACACATCCACACCCCAGCTTTCCTCAGAAAGAAGATCCAGAAACAATGGTACCTTAGTAGCAATGAATTGCTCTAGCTTTTTACACCCCAGCCTCAGATAAAAAGAACTATTTTTCTGGGGGAAAGTACAAAATATAACTGAATAATCTGCAAAACTCACAAACAGAAACTTGTCAAAATACTTTGATAGATGTCATTCAGTAATAAAGTGCTTTTCTAACAAAGATTCTGGGTTTGATTACCCCAATACAAAAGTGGGGTAGGCTGAATATTGTGTTATATAATCCCAATGCTGGGAGGAATAAACAGGAATATTGGGGGGGGGGGGAGGCTTTGCTGACCAACCAGTCTAGCCAATCAGTGAACTCAAACTTTAGTGAAGTCCTGTTTCAAAAAAATTAAGCATTAAGAAATAGAGCAGTGATTCTCAACCTTACACTTCCTCATGTTGTGCTGATCCCAACCATAAAATCCAAGCATCAACACTGATAGCTTGAGCTGTTATGTTGGAACATGTTATCTACACTTCTAGAATTCAAACTATGATTCTATTCGATAACTGAAATAAGAGAATGACAGTTTAAAACAGGGATTTTTACGCTGTAACTGGTTTTAAAAAAAAAAAAAAATTTGACTTGGGGTAGGAGAGGTTATCTGTTGAGACAGGTTTCTCTGGATAGCAGCCCTGGCTGTCTTGAAACTCTATACACCAGGCTACCCTCGAACTGTCTGCCTCTGTTTCACAAGAGCTGGGATTAAGGCGTGTGCCACTACCAGGTAAGAAATTGACTTCAGACACAAACTAATTTAATATAATCAAATGAAAACAGTGTGATCATTTCAGAAATCATTGTTGAGTGGCAGCCATGGAAGATCATGCCTGTAATTCCACAAGATCAACCAATAAATTCTAGAACTATCATCTATAAAGTCCCAAGCTAGCCTCGGGTACCATGTAAAAGCCTATATCCAAAAAACAGTTTTACAACCAAAGTATCAAAGAATTAATAAGATACATTAGTAGTCATGATAAAATCATGAGTCAGTGTCATAGAGAACAAGGTACTTTGGACTAGGATATATAGCTAATTTGGTAGAGTGCTAGCAACCATGTATAAAACCCTGGGATGGATCCCCAAACATAGCAACTCAGTATGTAGAAATAGGAAGATATGAAGTCAAGAACATCTTTGGTATATATGGAGTCGAAACCCGGCCTCATGTAAGTAGATGTGTAAGTGAGTTCCTCCTTGTGGCAAGTTATAAGGCCAATCTGGGCTGTTTGCCTCTGCCTCAAACAAAAAAACCAAAAACAAAGTGGATATTTACAATCTCTTATGGTGGCCACAATATACGATTTCTTGCCTGGTAGTGGCACATGCCTTTAATCCCAGTTCTCGTGAAACAGGCTAGGTCATGTTATGTAGCACAGGCTGACCTGACTGTAATCCTCCCAGATAACCCTGCTAGCTACAGGCATGCACCCATCTGGTGACAGTTACTGGAGAATTTAAAGATCTGGTGATATTAGCAAAATACCCTGATAAGAAGTTTGTAAAGTGAAGGAAAACAATGTGTTAGGAATTACTTAAAATGCTATGAAATACTGTATAAGCCAGTAAAGGTAAAGAAAATACTTACATTTGATTTTGGGCTGATATTTAATATTATATGGTGAAAAGTCGATACAATCAACCATGACAATAATAATTTGAGAGATCCTATCCAAGAACAACAAATCCTACGAAAGAATTTAAGTACCATAATTAGAAAATCTTATTACAGGAATAGTACTCAGTCAATACACACACACAATAATAAACATTTTTTTTTGTTATTTATGCTACAAATACATGATCATAAGTACTTCCCAGTGAGGTGTTCTATGGCAAACATTATTTACATCTTTACATTATCCAAAAAAAAAAAAAAAAAAAAAAAAAAAAAAAATAAGGCATATCCACCAATAAACTCTATTTGCTTGGGATCTATGCAAGGTATCTGCCATACTTCCATTTAACAACTCTCCCTCACTAGAGTGACAACTGAACTATGGAACTTGTTGGTTTGGAAAATAGGCACCTACATGAGGAAGTTCCAAGGGACTGAAACAAGATCTATCTATATCTACATATATCCAAGTCTTAAAAATTATATTAAACCCTGTGAATTCAAACACTATGAAAGAGCCGCTAATAAGCTCCTCTACCTTGTTTGCTCATCCTTAATTCAAAAGAAATAAAAGTAGGAACTAAAAATGTGGAGCAGCGAGGACAGAAAAGATATGTCTTTTCCCTCTAAAACTACTACTTCTTGGGGCATGCAGATTGTCTAACAAAGAAGGTACAGAGAAAAGTGGGATTCTTCACCAATGAGATGAACCATCAACCTTCATAAGGGTTACATGGAGTGAATGGGATTCAGTGCTCAGGATATCCAAACATATTCCATGACAAAGACAAGATGCCACAGTGGGAACAATAGCAAGCTCAACAAAGCCGTCTAAGCCAAAGAAATCAAGAATATTTATTTAGCATCATATCAGAATGTTGGTCCAAAATATGTGAGGATAAGGATTCAAACAAGTCTGTGCTTAATTAATTGAGTCACCGTTAAAATGTCCAAAAATCTAAAAAAGCCAGGTGGTGGTAGCCCATGTCTTTAATCCCAGCACAGAGGAGGCCAGCTTGTTCTACAGAGTACGCTCCAGGAGCTCCAGGACAGTCACAAAGCTACACAAAGAAACCTTGCTTCATAAAAACAATTATCTACTACTAAGAAGGCTGGTGAGTTGGCTCTGTGGGTAAAAGTGCTTACAACCAAAACTAACAATCTGAATTCAATGTTAAGATTCATAATGTAGAAAGAGAGAACTGACTCCCATAAGCTGTTCTGACTTCAAAAGGTGCACTGATTACACACACACACACACACACACACACACACACACACACACACACACACACACACACAATGAGAGAATAGTATAATAAAAGAAAAATCTAGTCAGTGTAGATGAGAACTACTAAGTGTCAAAGTTAAAAAAAAAAAAAAAAAGTTACAAATCAAGCAAAATGGCCAAGAACAGTAACAAAGGCTTGGAATGCCAAAGTTGAGTCCAGTCAGGGCTACAATATTTCCCTGCCTCAAAATACACAGAGCTGGGGGTGGGTGGTGGTTGGGGGAAGGGGTGGGTGGTGGCTGCATACACCTATAACCCAGCACTGTGGAGAACAGAGGCAAGAAAATAGCTTGGGCTTGCTGGCTGACAGTCAAACATTTAATTAGAAAGCCCCAAGCTTAGTAAGAGACCCTGTCTTAAGAGGATAAGACAGAATTATAGACCAAGATAGCCAATGTCCTCCTCTGACCTCTACAAGCACATAAGTATCACATTTTCATACACCGCCATCCCACACATATATCCTCACACCCAAAGAGAAGGGATCAAGGTGGCTCAGGAAAGGAAAGCAATTGCCACACAAATCTGACAACTTAAATTCAACCCCAGAACCTCTTGTGGAAAGAAAAGACCAACGTCCAAAAGTTGTTCTCTGGCCTCTACAAATATTACAACACAACTTTCCAAGTTCCCACCCTAATATCAATAGTAAATTTTAAAGTAATATTAATGGGAGATTAATTGAGGTCAGTTGGTATGGCAGAGTCCCTGCATTGCATGCATGAAGTCTGACAAAGTAAACCAGGTAGGGTAGGCCACACCTATAATCCCAGCAACTCAGCACTCAGGAGGAGGGGAGAAAAATCACAAGTTCAAATTTCAAACTTCCATAGTGCCCCAAGTTAATTCACAACACTAACAGACATGTGATCTCACAGTTCCCCATTCTTCAGACCCTCATCCCTATTACCAAGCTTCTATTCAACTAGCTACATATGGTAAGTCCCACACAAAAACAAAAAAGCCAAAGTCCAAGACATCCCATGCTTAAAAACAAATTCCATATTAATAAATACAAATAACAACCTGCAATGACTTCCAAAAAATAACAATGTTTTATTCTAACAGAATAAAACAAAGATGATTGAAGATGGGCTGTGGTGGCACATGCCTTTAATCCCAGCACCCCCAGGAGGCAGAGGCAGATAGATGGATCTGAGTTTAAGACCAGCCTGATCTACAGAGCTAGTTCCAGAACAGCCAAGGTGAACACAAAGAAACCCTGGGGGGATGGAGGGTGGGATAGTTCTAAAACCATAAAAGAAAGCATATTGAAAAGCTACAAGGAGGAAAATCCAAGTCTCAGACCTAATTATATCAGAAACCAAAAGTGCCTGGAAAGACATATCTCAAGTTCTGGAAATTTCTCCACTGTCAACAAAGACCATCATACCCAGCAAAATATAAAAAATTCAAAGAGCTGGATATGGTGGCATCATCTTTAGTCCCAGCATTAAGGAGACAGAAGTAGGAGGATTTATTCAGTGAGTGAAACTGCTATCACTCCTTCCTGAAATAAGAAGTAAATACTTTCATGATAAACACAGGTTAAAGGAATGTCTGACCACCAAGAGAGTCTATCAGTCTGAAGATAAGAATGACTATAACCCAAGGGGTTTCAGGGAATAAATAAGTACTTGGCTCAAAAGATTAGAAAAGGCCTTTCAAAAACCCAAAATGGACAGGCAGTGGTGGCACACGCCTTTAATCCCAGCACCCAGGAGTCAAAGGCAGGAGGAGCTCTGAATTTGAGTTCAGCCTGGTCTACAAAGCAAGTCCCAGGACAACCATGACTACACAAAGAAACCCTATCTCAAAGGGAGGGGGGGGGTTTAAGAGGGGTAGGAGATAAACATAAATCATTCAGTATCTCTGAACATCAAGAATCTCAATTCCTCAATAAAATGACAAGACTAGGCCCAGAGACATGACCCAGTGGTTAAGAACATGTGCAGCTCAGCTCTCCTAAAACAACCATGTGCAAGCTCATGACAATCTAACTACAGCTCCAGTTCTTCTGTGGGCAGTGGTGAACACACACAGTACAGATACAAGCAGGCAAGGCACCTACACACAAAACACCAACTCGCCTTTTCAAAATGAAAAACTTGAGTAGCACATGGTTGTTAGAAAATAGGATCCATTTCTGCTGCCTCCAAGAAACACACTTCGCCATCAAAGAAAGAAACCACTTTAAGGTAAAAGGAAGGAAAAGGGTATTCCAAACAAAAGGTTTTAGGAAGCAATCAAGTAATTTTAGTATCTGGCAAAATAGACTTCAAACCAAACAACTCAAATGAGTTAAGGTCATTTCATACAATACACCAAGAGAATATTACAATCTTAAGCATATGCACAAAAACAGGCATACCCAGTTTTAGAAATATTTTAGATGCAAATATCAGAGATCACCCCAACACAATGGAAACAACAGGTGACTTCAATACAAAATTTTCACGAATAGACAGGGCATCAAGACAAAAACTAAACAAAATATCAATTAGAGTTTAATGACACCACACAGCAAATGTATTCACTCTACAGATTGACATAAACACTGAATACACACACTTTTTAGCCGAGTCCATAGAACTTCCTCCAAAACTGACCACAAAGCAAGCTTCAACAGATAACAAAATTAAAATAACATCCTGCATTCTAAAGCTAGGTATCAATAGCAAAACTATAAAACATAAAAATTAAACAGGACTATCGAATGACAATTGAACTACTGAAGAAATTAAATTTCAAAAATTCCTAGAATTGAAGGAAAATAAAAACATAATACAACAAAATCTATGGGGCATAAAAAAGGCAATACTGTAAACTTCCTATATGACTAAGAGCTTAATATCAAAGTGTAAGATCATATCAATAAATTAATGATGCACCAGGGACCCAGGAAAAACAATAGCAATCCAAACCCAGAAATAAATAGGAAGGGATAATCAAAAATCAATTAACAACAATACCAAAAATCAACAAAAGGTGCTTTGAAAATATAAGCAAGATTGACCAATGTCAGCTGGGTAGAGTATGCCATTAATCCCAGAAATGGGACAGACAGAAAGAACAGAGTTATTGTATTGCTTTCTGCTTTCTGGTTGTATCTGGGGTGTACTTTACAAGGAGGTAATTTCATGCTCACACGAGAAGTTCTTGGAAAAAGTTCTTGGCTGGGGAAGTCATATAGCACAGGGATTCAGGCCTACTCACCAGAATGCCAAAGGTTGGAAACCTCAATGAAGAGGCAGAAGACAACATACTGGGGCTAGAGAGATGGCTCAGCCGTTAAAGGCTAGGCTCACAAACAAAAATGTAAGAACAGACTGAAGCTGTCAGCCCAAGCAAGTGCTGCACAAAAAGTCCCATTCAGCAGTCATATCCCTCTCTAATGGCCAAAGCCCATAAATAGTCTCTCTGCATGTCAGAACAGCTATGTAATTTTGACCCATTCAAAGGAGAAAAGCTGTTCAAGGTGCTTCCCTTTCCATGCCAACTACTTCAATCCAGTAAGTTCTACAAAGAAAGATGATCTCATAGCCTACAGCATAAAGGGGAAACAATCACAGCTCCATGCAGCCACACTCAGTAGATTGCATTCTCCTTATCATTTAGGGATTTTTAACTCAGACCTAACCAAGATTCATGCTTTGATGGACAGAATTTCAGAACTAGTCAATATAAAGGAGAGCTGTAGTACAAAGATATTTTAAGAAAAGTTTAGACTAGGGTCAAGATAAAGAGGCATCCCAAATTAAAAGCACTAGTATTTTCTGCATTAACTGAACCTCTTATACAGAAGCTTCAGTAAACTGGTAATTGTTTTAATGTTATCTCCAAATTTCAAAATATATACAGGGGGAACACTCACTGAAAGGACTTCATCTTCCAAACTGCACATTATTTTAGAAGAAAGTTCTTCACAGCACAAATTCTCTTCTGCTGTTGCCACCAAAGCAGCACAGCGTGCAAACGCCCTATACAATTCTGACCAAGTTTTAAGTAAAGTCTTCATAGTAGCCTAATAACAAAAAAGAAATTTGTTAAACTGACACCAACATAACCAAATATGTAACAGGAGTAATACATTAAGACTGAAAAGAATGAAACATTTAATGTGTCAGAGGAATCAGTTATTAATTCCCAATTAAATTCTATATGAACAGTATCAGAAATTATCAAAGGTCAAAAATCAAATACACCTCATTTCAGTGTCCTCCGCCTCCCCATATTCTTCCAACCCACATTAATTCAAGAAAAATTAGAGTTGATGATATTCATATTTAAAAATAGTATTTCCAGAAAGACACAAAATCCTTACATGAACAATATACATTCTTACCATGGGAAATGACTGAGCTGAAAAAATATGATTTATTGGTAAAGTCAATGCACCATAGATGGCACTAAAATTATGTTCTAAGGCATCACCTTGATTCACTTCATTGGTCTGAAATAAAAAAACATGGAGTTAGACAAATTACCATCTAATTCTAATTCTACCTGGTAATATAACTCATATAACAGATTCTCAGGGCTCTAAAACAGAAAAACAGATTTCTTTTAGTCTTCAGAACTTATTGTTGGAGATAAAAGTACATACAGCCCAGTGATTATCTGGAGATAAACTTTTTTCCCTTAGGCTTGACTCTACCACTTAGCAGCAGTTAATTAAAAAAAAAAAAAAAAAAAAAAAAAAAAACGTAATGAAAGATTTTAGTTTGCTGAGCAAGGATGTAGGAAAGGGGCATGAGAATAATTCTTGCAAGCGGAATATAAAAAATCATAAAGAATGGACATTGACATGGGAGGAAAGGACAAAAATTATGAGAACAAAGTAAGTTACTATGGTGATGTGGCTAGTTAGTGGTCATGCTAGGCTGATTCTGTTAAATAAGGTTAGTAACTGAATCAATCTCTTGTAAAAATAACTGAAGTCTCTTCCAGGTCTGGCCCACATCAAGGAAATGGGCCCCAACCCTGAACAGATGGTTCCAGATGAATGGTCCTGGCTGGGTCATACCTGACCAATGGACAGTCTGGGGTCTTTCTTTACCTGTCATCCTGTTGTTTTTCCTTTAAAGAATAGGTCACACCTGGGTGATCTCTCAAACATGAAATTATACTTTGTAATTATACTATGTATACCTTGTGCCCTATGCATGCATGCACTCTTTAAAAAGGGCTTGAACCCTCTGAGGGGTGTGCAGCTTTCCCCGAGATTGCTGTCACCCGAGTGCACTCATTCAATAAACACCTCTTGCTTGTTGCATTTGGGTGTGTCGTGGGGCTCTCCAATCTGTCCATCAGGATCCCAGAATTAGGGTCCAACAATAATTCTCTTGTTTACACCACCTAGTCATGTGAAATTATTGTTCTCAGAAACCTTCAGGAACAGAGAGAAAAGAAGGGGAAGAGAAAGAGAGGAGGGGGGAGAAAGAGAAACAGGGCCAGAGACCCTGAAATACACTAGGAAACAATCATGCTGATTATGTTGGTTTGAAAGAAAGTGGCCCCCAAGAGAGTGGCACTATTAGGAAATGTGGCTTTGTTGGAGTAGGTTTAGCCTCGTTGAAGTACATCACTATAGGGGTGGGCTTTGAGATCTTTTGTTCAAAATCCACTCAATGATACTGAGTCCACTTCCTGTTGCCTTCTAATCAAAATTTCACAAGCACCATGTCTGTCTGCTTACATATCACCATGCTGCCCACTATGATGGCAATAGACTAATCCTCTGAAACTAGAATCCACCCAAGTATAATGTTTTCCTTTATAAGGGCTGCTATGGTCATGGTGCCTCTTTATAGCAATAGAGGCCCTAAGATGTTAACTTTAAGTTCTGAAACAACCTTAATCTCCCAAACTACAAGTTATAATTCATACATGTAATCGCAGTATTTAGTAGACTGAGGCAGGAAGAGTTGGAGGCCAACCTAGGCTATTCTGAGTTCCAAGGAAAGATGTTATAGAGGGACATCATCTCAAGACAAAAACTGCAAACACACAGAACTCTCACAAAGGGCCTCTGCTACCATTCAAGGTGAAATTCTTAGAAATACAGTCTAATATCCTTCTAGAACAGTACTAGCTTAAGATTAAGAGACCAATTTTTGTGGTTTAAAAAAAAAAAATCTCCTGGAGCTTTTATTCCATGAGTTACTTGTATCAACCTAAAGAATACTCAAAAGCAAACAAAATAAACCAAAACAAATAACAAAAACACAAAAGTGAATTTGCATCCCATATTAATAATATTTAAAACTTTATTAACACTAAAATGTAAAAACTAATCAACTCTTAACAGATTTCAAGCTTCAGAAGGCTAAATATGGAGGCACGACGACTGGACACTATGCATGTAACCTATTAAAAGTAATTACAGGTCAGCACACTATGGTAAGCACACACTAAAAATTCCAGCTTTGGGAAGCTACAACATAAAATGAGCTTGGCTGCAACAGAGTAAGAGTTTGTTTCAAGGAGAAAACAAACCAAAGACTATCTTTTATTTTTCCCTACCTGGTACACTTCAATATAAGTATTCTAATTATCCAAATATTGGGAGGATGGGGCAGAAAGTCACAGGAGGCCAGCAGAGATTACACAGGAGATACTGACACAAACCCCCCCCCCAAAAAAAAAAAAATTTAAGAGAAAAGTACCCAACCCATAAATACACTTATCAATACAGATGCTGGTTTAATCAGCACTATTAGAAGAGAAGGAACTGTTGTTTGCCCTACACTACCTTCTTAACACTAAGGAAAATGGAATCAAATACACGATCAATCACAAACTGTTCATTTTTCTTTAAACTCAAACTTGTGATCTGTCTAAAGGGGGAGGGAGCACCTCATAGCCCTGAGGGAGCAGAGGCAGTAAGCTGTTCAGGCTGATGTACAAGTATGCTTTCTAAGTACCAGTCCAGGACTCTGGGAGGGAGGGAGGGATGGAGGGAGACATAGCACGCGTGTGCCTTACCTGATGGATCACATCAGTCAGGGGAGTGACTATAATACTCCACATTCTCCAGAGATGTTCCTTGTTTGCCAACTGCTTTGCATTCTGATTAATCACACTTAGTACAGAATCACTAAAAGCCAATGGTGAAGTTGGACCAGAAAGTACACAACCTACAAGTGTTTCTAGATTGAGAAAAAACCTTAAAAAATAGAAACAATTTTCAGAATAAGTATTTCTTCTAGAAATACATTATGTATTAGCAAAATTCTAAAACAGCTGAACACAAGAAATGAGTTTTTTATTATTATGGCCCTAGCCTCTAACACCACTACCAGCTTATCTCTAGTTCGTACTTCTGTACCACCACAACCTCCTTCCCCAACATAAAATATTAAAGTAAGAGAGAAAGAGAAAACCCTATGGTTAAGAGTACTTGTTCTTCCAGGAACCTGGGTTACCGTTCCCAGCCTCCACGCTGTCCCCATCCATGACTACACATTCAAGGGATTTGACACCCTCTTCTGGTCTTCAAAAGCATTAAGGCATACATAAGCTATAGACATGTGCAGGCAAAACACACACATAAAATCTTTTTTAAAAAAATTATGGTAAACCCCAGCATTACAGAATCTGACGCAAAAAGATCTACAATGAGCTGGATGGTGGTGGTACAAACCTTTAATCCCCACAGAGGAAGGCAGATCTCTGTGAGTTCAAAGCCTGCCTGGTCTACAAAGTGAGTTCCAGGACAGCTAGGGTTGCACAGAGAAACCCTATCTCAATAAATAAATCTATAATGAGATGGGCCTGGGCCACAAAGCCGCATCACAAAACACAAAATGATCAACTGAGTTTGGTGGCTTATTACCCATAATCTAGCACTTAGAAGTTGGAGGCAAAATTGCCAAAAGTTTGAGGCCAACCTGGACTGTATATAGAAAGGGTATCTAAATTACATAATCATCTTTCATGAGAAAAAAAAAAAAAAAATCAGGAAAAAAAAAAATCAGGCATGAGAGTAGATTAGTGTTCTATACAACTAGGCTAGACAGGGTTAAATAAAAATATGGTTTAAATATAAATGCCAACAAACAGACAAAAAGGCCATGGCAATACACTTTTGCTATCCTAGAAAAAGAAGGTAGAGAGAGAATTATCAATTCAAATCAATTACACAGCAATTCTAGGCCATCCTGAGACTCATGCCATGAACAGGATTTAAAATAAAAAACAAGGTACAAACTTACTTTTCATCTGCTACACCACATTCTACAAGATTGTTGTTGAAAATTAACTGAATTAAGAATAAAGCTGGAGTTCCCTAAAAAGTAAAGAAAAGGAAGTCACAATTTCCAGTAAAAAGAATAGTTTAAGACTTATTTAATGATTTATTTTGGCATGGAAACTTTAGCATTATTTAGTGTATGATAATAACAAGTTCATTTCTTAAGACTACATACCAAACCAGACACAGTGAGTGTCACATATTTGTAATCACAGCAACCAGTAGGGTGAAATGGAAGGAGTCTGAGTTCAAGCTCAGTATGGGATACCTAGGGAGACCCTTGTCTTCAAAACAAGTCAGGCATGTCCATAGCACTTAGGAAGCAGACGCATAGAGATATGTGAATTTAAGATTTAGTATCAAGAATGGTTTATAGATCAAGTCCTAGGCCAACTAGGGCTACATTTAAAAAAAAAAAAAAAGAGGCTAAACAGATGGCTCACTGGTTAAGATTGTGTTCTGCTCTTACAAAAGACAAAGCTCAGTTCCCAGTAACCACACCAGGTAAATCACAACCACCTTTAACTCCAACTCCTTGCCCTCTGAAATTACTGCACTCAAACATCCAAGCACAAAGACATAATTAAATAAAATGAATAGTAAATAAAATTAATATAAAAAAAATCAAATCCATCTATATGCTCTGATCATAGTTCTCGTGAGAAATCAAAGATGGTGAGGTGTCAGATAATAAACACACAGATACCCATGCTGGACTCACAATACCTGTTTCACACAACAAAGTATATGTCATATACTTACTATATTAGCATACTAAGCTTTCACATATTTTAGCAGTAGCCAGTAATTTTACTCCATGCAAACAGAAAACATTCTTTCTAGAGTCTACTATTCAATCCAGGAAAAGAAAAAATGTTCATCTACTGACATAGCACCATCTTAAATTTTTCACAGTAATCTACTATCTTGCATAGAAGTTTAACTTAATCAACCAAATCCAATTAATGGTCACATTAAGAACTCTAAGGGAGTTTGTTTCGCCAATCTTTATCATTATCACTACACTACATGTAAGATACTTGCATTAAGAATATCCATATTAGCAACCTGATATGCTGGTGAACCTAATACTTTCTGAGGAAGTCCTTTAACTGTAATTTCCATGAGGACCTAAGAAAGAAAGATTTTACAATAGTTAGCAATAAAAAAAAAAAAAAAAAAAAAACCTGTTACTCAGTAAAAACTTTATGTCATCTATATTTGACAATTTATCAGTAATACCACTCGTGATTCATTACATAAATTAACTAATACAGTGTGTGTGTGTGTATATATATATATATATATTCACATTACTTCTACCTTGTAAGTTTTTGTGTTACTATAAAAAGTAGCCACTAAATGAACAAATATCCATACTTTAACTGTTTTTCTAAAAATGAAACTTCACAGCTTTTTTTTTTTTACATCACAAGAAATTTTGCTGCTTTAATCTCAGAACACAGGAAGTAGAGGCATGTGGATCTGAGTTTGAGGCCAGCCTGGTCTACAGAGCAAGTTCCAGGATAAGCTCAAAAACTACAGAGGAAACCCTGTCTCAAAACACTATCCCCCATACACAAACATATACACCAGAAAGAAAACCAGAAAGAAAATTCTGCAATGACATACATACTAAACAGGCCTAGAAGCAAATACTTCAACAGCTTGCTAACTATAAATCAAATCTCAAGATTACAAATCCAGAGATATTTGAGTCTTCTAAACTGTTCTCCAAGTCTTCCTGTGCTTATTATTATATGAACTACAAGGTGTTAAGTATCAAAATAATTACCTTAGCAAATAAAATCCTATTTTGAACAAGATTTAAAAATACACTAAAGTTGACAGTATTAATTTGTGCCTTGTCCAGAGTGTTTGGCAAGCATAAACCCATTTAACTATTTAAACTACTACTAACTACACACTACATATACTAAGTTCAGACTGACAGGCCAAGAAAGCAATTAACTGCCCAAATTCTGCACTAGAGTTCCTGATACCATCTACTATGTTCCACCAGCACACTGTATTTAAGTAACAATATCATTTGTTCATTATGAAAATTAAATACTTATTTTCATTACTACTATTTAAGTTTAAAGCCTATTTAATACACAAGTGACAATGTGCTATTGTCACTAAGTACTCTGAACATTAAAATTTCTTCAGTTCAAGTTGCATGTCCTATTGCATTTTTTTTTGTATGAAGCTGATCCCTCTAACATTCTGCAGATGTTTGCAGCTACTGCTACAACTATTTACTATAAAATTTTCAAAGGACATTTGAATGACTTGGAATACAGCTAAACTACAAGCCAATATTCAGTATTATAAAGGTCTGTGCCAAACATATTTGAGCAAGTCAATATAAACTAAGTTTCAAAATGAGACCTTAATATATTTACCAGTGTTTTTGATACAGGAAATACTTCTGACTTCACTATGTTTTCCAAAGATTTTAGTAGGAGGGTCAAAACTTCAGAGCCTGATCTTTCTTTTCTGTTTCCTATCAAAGAGTACAAAAGGAAGCATATAATTCCAAACTTGTTTTTAGGTGAGCATATCTAAGAGTTAAGAAAATTAACTAAGTAACCATTTCTAGTTACACATAACACAAATAAGGCTTACATTTGCAAGTGCAAGTGAAGCACTGCACTTGTGCTTGCTATGAAGGCCACTTAGCAATGTAATACGCTTACCTGATTCAGTAACTGACTTCACCAAGCTAATTAGCTCTTTCCAGATAGCACTGACTACAGCATCTGTCAAGGAATAAGAACTTTTAAGATAGGGTTTAGAGCTGAGCATTGGTGGCTCATGCCTTTGATCCCAACATTCAGAAGGCAGAGAGAGGCAGGAAGATTTCTTTGAGTTTGAGGTGAGCCTGGTCTGTAGAGCGAGTGCCAGGACAGGCTCCAAAGTAACACAGAAACCCTATCTCAAGGAGAAAAAAGTTCAGTTCCTAGTACCCCATAAATCTTCAAGTACAGTTCCAAGGAAATCCGATGCCCTCTTATGCTCTACTTGAGCACCAGACACATTTGTAGTTCACACATACAGGCAAAATATTCATACATATATAACTCCAACAAAACCTAATCTTCTGTTCTTTACACTAATAGCAAACTGAGCACAAATTTGAATATTATGTCCTTATATTTATAAAACCACCATTACAAACTTTCTCTGGAGAAATTACACCTTTGTAAAAGGACATGTTAGCAATGGGCCTACCATATTACAAAGGATAAATGTTTTCGTTTTTTATCTGTATTTTCTATGCTGAATACCCCATCACTTTTGCAAAAAGGAAAGCAAAAAAGAAAGACACCAGAGCTGTGCCTGGTGTACACACACCACTCCTGCACTTAAGAGGCAGAGACAAGAGGACTACCACTCGTTTCAGGACAGGTGAGCTGCAAAGATGCTTTTCTCCAAAGAATGCAAATTTCCCCAGTCTAGACTACATGAACAAGCACACAGCCACACCCACAATACCCTTTTATTTAAAAAAACAAAACACAAAGAAGTGCAACGATATGGCTCAGCAAGCACTTACTGATGGTAAATCTGAAGCCTGAGTTTGACACTAAGATACCACACAGGGGAAGGAAAGAACTTTTAAAGTTGTTCTCTGTCCTCCATGTTAATGCCTGAATAGACACATACATGCACAATGGGTGAAAATATATGCTTCATTTTACAAACAACTAAGAAGTGTTTTTATTTTATCTACTTATTTTTGGGTGACAGGCTCTAGGTTTGAAAACTGGGTCAGTCCCAAATGAGTAATCTTTGTCTCCGTTTCTAAAGTGCTCAGATCGTGTTTGCCACCATAACATACACATATATGTTTTGAAGCAAGGTCTTGTGCGGTCCAGGGCAGCCTCCAACTTTTAGCAATCCTCCTGTTGCCTTACCATCCCTAATACAGGTATTACAAAGGTAAACCACAATGCCTGGCTTTACATTTCTTGCATTCATTTCTTTTAGGCCATGAACATAAATTTAAATGCAGATACTAAAGCCACAGAGCCTAGGCTTGAATCAGATCTACCAGTCCCTATATGATTTTATGCATTGATTGTCTCTTAGTACAATCCAATTTCTTTTCTTGTGTAGCCTTGTTTTCTGAACATGCTACACAGACAATGTAGACAGGCATTAAATATCAGAGACTGGCCTGCCTCTGCCTCCCCAATGCTGCCAGTCACTCCTATCTCCCTATTTAGAAAGGTTTAGCACAAGTGACTTCAAAGAAATACTACAAACTTTTGGTGCACAATCTGGTCAATGAGTTAACACCAAGTAAATATTTGTTTTTTGCCTATTAATTGAGAAAGGGTTTTTGTGTGTAGCCCAGACTGGCCTTGAACTCAGAGATGCACCTAATTCTGCCTCCTGAGTGCTGGGATTAAAGGCATGTGCCACACCACCCAGCAATATTTGCTTTATGGTTCTTTAAAGGGCTGGTGACTGCTTCCAACCGCGATAACCTAAACTCCCAGGACCCACACAGTGAAAAATGTAAGCCCCAAAATATCCTGACATCCCCATGTCCTATGGCACATGTATGATCACACACAAACTACATAAATGCTTAAAAATAAATAAACTTTTTGTATTAAAAATTTTCCTAAACTTACCAGAAGCATCTCTGCCAACTGCAACAAAGCTATCATGAACAGCAGTGATAAGTGTATGTGCATGCTTGGAAAAAAAAGAAGGGCTGCTGATTAGGGGGTGTTCCAGTGGCTCTAAAAGGGAAACCAAGACAAGAAGTTAAGATTTATAAAGCAAATTTCTCAAGAAAACAAAAAAAAAAAAAAAGTATCTAAAAACTTTTTACTTAAAAGATTTAAATTCACTTCACACACAAGTTTATCCCTATTATTGAGATGTTGTGTAAAACAGAGGCCTCTCCTCCATACAGTAAATTTCAAAAACAAATACCTAGGCTCAGTACAAGCTTGTGTTGCTTAGCAAAATTCAAGACTTCTGGACCCAACAAAAAATGAAGCATCATTTCCAGTCCCAAAAGCTGAATGGAAGGGATTGAAGCCATTCCACCTATATTTGAACTCGTGTTCATGCGTGGAGTTGTGGGGACTCCATAAGGAGAAGCACCTTTAAAAGAGAAAGATCCATTTATTCAAGTTATAGTTCCTATCTGAATATCTTTAAAGACATGATATAAATTTCTCAGACATTAATACACACCCTGAAATTACCAAGCCTTTCTGTTCCAAGATTTTCTGTAAAAAATCTAAAATGCTGAAAAAGGCTAATAGAGTAATGACAAATAATTGCTTCTGAATGCTGTTAAGACCCATTTTCCATACTAGCACGTAAGTCTAGTCATTCTGAGTTGCTTATTGGCAATCAATTCAAGTAGCATGAAAGGAGCTGGGTTTTATTTGTACACACTTGCAGTCTGAACATTTGGAGCATGAGGAGTTGTCAGTTCAAAGCAATCTTGGTCAAGAGAGTGAGTTCCAGGCTAGCCACAACTACATAGTTGTCTAATACACAAGTTCAACTCAGTCTAACAATAGATGACCACTGTCTCAAATAATTAAATAAAAATAAAATAAAATAAAATCTATCTAGGCTACATACATAGTGAAAGCTAGCAACAAAGCAAGATTAAGAAACTGAAAATCAAAACTTTTTTCCCCACCACTGATAATAATCCAGTTAAAATTATCAATACCAAAGAAAAGAATATAGATAGGAATACATTTGAGGTATGGCCTCTAATCCCAATATTTGACAAGTACACATTCAGGAATTCAGGACTAGTCTACATTATGGGATTCTGTCTCAAAATCAAAAGCAAAATAAAAAGAACTTTTTACTTAAAGGACCTAGTCTCCAAAGAGCGACTACTCCTTCAAAGACTTTTCAAAAGAAAAGGAAGCAAATCTTTCACCTTTATGTCCAGGAGTCAGTGGACTTAAGCCAGGAGAAGTAGACCCTCTAGATGAATTGCATTGCTGGGAAGCAATACTATCAACACTTATTGTACTCTGAATCAGAGGCACACAAACCTAATAGATGAAAAAGAAACAGCAATAATTCCATTGTAAAATGGTTAAAAAAGAAATTTTATAAGATTTTTGTTTTTGTTTTAAAGACATGGTTTCTCTGTGTATCCCTGGGTGTCTATTGACCAGGCTGACCATGAACTCAGGGATCCACCTGACTCTTGAATGCTGGGATTAAAGGTGTGTACCACCACCACCCAGCAAGATAATGTATTTCTTCAAGAAGCAATCTTAATTCTTCTGACACAGAGGTAGATCAGGCCAATTAAAAACTTAAGATCTGAAGCCAGGCAGTGGTAGCACACGCCTTTGATCCCAGCACTCCAGAAATAGGAGTTTGATGCTAGCCTGGTCTACAAGTATAAATGTACCATAGTGTCTTTATCCATTCTTCCATTCAGGGAGCTAGACTGATTCCCATTTGGGGCTACTATGAAGAGCAGCAATGAACATGGTTCATATTTATATTTACCTGAGGTGTCATCTGTGTTTCAGATAGTTCTAAATCCTGAACAAAATTGCACACATTAATAACTTTTGCAAATAAATTGCGTTAGTTGCATATGCTAATGATTTGTTTGTATATTTTTTCTCCCCAGATCTCTTGCAGCCCGGGCTGTCCTTAAACTCAACATGTGCTTTCCTTAAACTCAACATGTAACCAAGTTGACTGACTTCTTATTCTTTGGTGTCTACTTCTCCAGTGCTAGGGATAGACATACACTAGTACACTCCATTTTTGTGATCCAAAAGTTTGACTCTAGGGCACCCAGCATGCTGAGCAAGCACCCTGACTAAAATGACATCCCCAACCTTTAAGTTCTTTAATTCTTCTTTGGTTTTGACTATTAAACCCATGGTGAGGAACAGGCTAAACACATACTCCCTACAAGCAGTATTTCCCTAGCTAACCAAAGCTTCTGTGAAAATTCAAATTAGAAAATATCAAGACAGGGCTAGAGAGATGGCTCAGAGGTTAAGAGCACTGACTGCTCTTCCAGAGGTCATGAGTTCAATTCCCAGCAACCACATGGTGACTCACAACCACCTTCCATGAGATTTGGTTCCCTCTTTTGGTGTGTAGCCAAATATGCAGATAGAACACTGTATATGTAATAAAAATAAGTAGATAAAATTTTAAAAAGTTATTTAATATATATACATATATATACATACATACATACATATATACAATACATCAAGATGGTTAAAGCTCACTTCTAAAATCATCCACAAGTCTCATCTATGTTCTCCCAAATAAATAAGTTGTACAACCAGATTAGGCTCTTAGAAGCTTATAATGGCAGAATTTGGTAATTACATTCATTATTTGTTTAATGCTGATTTTCAATTATGTTGTATAGGAAACTTCTATCTAAAACTCAGAAACTACGGCCGGTGATAAAATTCAGTGGTAACTTCTCTAGTATATATTCAGAGTCCCAAAGTTCAATGCAAGGCTGTCTAAAAACAAACAGTATTGGGCTGGGGATGTAGCTCAAGTGGCACGTATGGGTTTGATAACCTGGTGCTACAGCTGTAAACTCTATAATCCCAGCACTTAAGGCAAGAGGATCAGAAAGCTACTCTTGGCAACAAAGCAAGTCCTAGCCCTGGACCATGAGATCCAGTCCCCCCAAAAACAATCAAAAAACAAAATGGCATGATGGCTCAATCATTATCCATACAAAAATCATTAACTCAAGAGAATGAAAAACATGGCCTTAAATTCAAGGCCAGCCTAGTTTAAAGTATGAGAGCCTGCCTTTAAAAATGAAAGGGTACCTTGAAAAACAAAAACAAAAAAAGAAAAAGGAAAAAGAAAACAAAGGATACCAATGAGGACAATGGCTGGAGAACAAACACCTTCCAAGAAAGGAGTTCCTGCTTTATTAATATGTACTTAGAATGTAAGAAATACACTACAGATTACAAATAAAAGTTATCTTTTAGTATTTTAATTATAAACCACCAATGGAATTGCCACACAAAAATAGCTTAGACCAAATTAAATTAATTTAGTGTTAGTGAATGTATTAAATGACTACTTATAAATAAGTCATCCAGAAAAAGAAAAAAAGAATTAGAATTTGTATTTCAAACCTTGTGGTATGTTGCTTGCTATTTCATTAATGTTGATTGCTAAACACTAAGAGTTCACCTTTGTAAATAAAGAGCTGTCAAAAGATGGCTCAACACCTGGTGCTCTTAAACAGACCCTGAGTTTGATTCCCAATGCCCACATAGCACCATTGCAACTATCTGTAATTCCAGTCCCAGAGATCTAACATCCTTTTCTGGCCATCCCTGGTACCAGGCACAAAAGCAGTGCAGACATACACACAGGCAATATACCCATATAAATAAAACAGAAATTTTAAAGGGTGAAGGAGAGATCATTAGGCAATTTAACAAATAGCATTGACTGTTCTCCTAAAGGACCTGGATTTGATTCCCAGTATCCAGAGTACTCACAACCATGATAACCCCAGCCTCTTCTGTCAGAGGATACAAACATGCTATATACAGGCAAGACACGCATACATACAAAATAAACTAGATAAATTTTTCAAATAAACAAATTAATGTTCTATACTGTTATGTTGGCATTTACTGATTAGAGGTTTATGGATACTCCATCTTAGGCCACTGGAGAATACACTGTAAGAAATACACTCAAGTTTTTATAAAGCATAGAAGTCCTTAAATAAAGCCTGGTGGTGGCGCACACCTTTAGTCCCAGCACTCGAGAGGCAGGCAGATCTCTATGAGTTCAAGGCCAGGCTGGTCGACACAGTGAGTGCCAGGACAGGCTCCAAAAGCTATACAGAGAAACCCTGTCTCAAAACAAACAAAACAAAACAAAACAAAACAAAAAAAAAAAAAAAAAAAAAAAAAAAAAGACCCCATCACAAACAAAAGTACAACAAAGACACATCAATTTTTAAGTTAACAGTTCATAATTCTGTTACCTGCTCAAAATTGCCAGGGAGCTGAGGTCCAAGTCTCATCAGTAAATACCACCAGACTTCTAATTTTGTTAATGCTAATGTCTCTGTTCTCACATGGATGGAACTCAAAGGCTGCATTAATAACTTGAGTCTTTTTGCACTACAAAGTATATCTTAAAAAGAAATATAAATAAGATTACTGTAGCAAAAGAAGTCAGACTAAACTTCTTTGACAAATCCTAGTACAGCTGGACCAAAAACACAGAATAGAAATTTTAATATCAGATACAGTGTAACAAACATAAAACAGGGTTGCTATTCCCACCAGCAATATGGACCTGTGGCAATACCTAAAAATTTCAGGTTGTTACAACCTGGCATTTAGTGTACTGAAGCAAAGGATGCAATTTCCTAATGCCTATTAATCCCAGGCTCCCAGGCCAGGACAAGACGACCAAGAGTTTCAGGCCAACATTGGCACACTACAACAAAGATTATTCTAAAAATCAACTAGTAACTTAAATCAAGCACCATCAAATTTTCAGAAAGCAACACATTTACTCAGCTGTATCCTATTTTTAATAATTGTTAGAACTCAACATACAAAAATTCAATTACCACTTCTTAAGAGTTCTAGATGTTGTGTAACAAGACTACCAACACATATGAGCAAACCAAACACCTAGCTACAGTTTTTTGTTTGGAGACAGATTTTTACTATGTAGCCTTGGTTGGCCTAGAACTCACTATATAGATCAGACTGACCTCAAGCTTTATGAGATCCACCTCCTGAGATTCTACCTCTTGAGAATTGGGATTAGAGGGATATGTTAAATTTTTATTATACTGATGTTTTAGGCTATTTTCTCATCTCATACATACATTTCAAATACTCCACTGAGCATTATGATAAGGTGAAGACAAGACTAAAGAATCCAGTTTGGAGCACATTTCTAGAACTACAGGGAGAAAAACTAAGTTACTGATATTTTCATTTCATGGCTACCATTTTTCTTACCATCTGTTGTCTGTATTGCTCCTGATAAATCAAGTTTTCTAAAATAGTTTGATTAAGTCAGGCCTACTATAGTGATTTCAAATAGATACAACACACATAATGCTTAACATTCAGTTTAGAAAGCCACAAACAGATTTTTATTTTGTCTTCTAAACTTATAAAATAATTTAGGATAAATATAAAATTTTCAATGTCTCGCAAATAACATTTACATATTTATTCCTATTCCCTTAAGGTAAAGTTATTAATCAAAGAATCAGAAAAAGCTTCATCACTTAATCTTTACTAACAGTAAATTAATTCATACAAAATTAAAAATTTGAATAGTTTCAGTCTCATCTACATTTTTAGAACCCACCTTGAACAAAGCATATCTCAGGCTTGCAAGTCTCCTAATGTTGGCCATGAAATAATGCCAAAAGATTCTACTAAATAGTTCTCTGTCCTTATCATGGCCCAAATGCCCACCTTCACCACACACAGACACACATAAATATTAAATTATGAAAATAAACTAAAAAATCCTTTAAAAATAAATAGAATGATTTACATACATACCTGGGTTTAAGGCAAAATTATCTATTAAGCTTTTCCAAGCAATGAAAGCTATCTTTTTAATCATAGGTATTCCACTACGGAAGCCCAGTTCTTCCAATTGTAACAAAGAATTGATGAAACTCCCACTTCGGTGTAAGGTCTAAGAAAAGAGAAAACATGATTTTTGTAGTTCATAATCAAATAAACAAAGCCACACTGCTTGCAAACATACCTCTAACACAAGTAATGGGGGTGTTTTAAGCAAATTAAAAGAAACAGTATGGGGAAAACAGCTTGTTCAAATAAAGTGCTTGCTGTACAATGATGAGGACGCAAGTTCAATCAATCCCCGGAACCCAGGCTCAAAAGCTAGGCAGATAGTGATGGTTGTACACTGGACGCAAAAGCATGCAAATGTGCTTTCAAGGTCAGTCTGACCTACAGCACTTTAGCCTAGGCAGACAAAACCTGGACAGAAAAGCCAGTGAGATGGCTCAGCTGTGCAAGTGGCTGCCATGCAAGAAGCCTTTGAAAACCAGACTTTGACAGATCTCCAGTGGTTGGAAATGAAAACTCCACAAAGTAGCACACATCTACTACCTGTAAGTGCATACGAATCCAACACGTTTTAAGGATGGGCATGGTGGCAAACACTTTGTAATCCCAGTGCTAAAAGCAGAAACAGCTGCCTACTCAATGAATGCATATGCATGTAAGAATCCACCCTCAAAGACAGAAGCTGGGCAGACAGTGGCACATGCCTTTAATCCTAGCAGAGGCAGGAAGATCTGGCAAACTGAGTTTACCAGGAGCTCACATAGTGGGAGTGAACAACTCATCCAAGTAGTGCTGATGGGTGTTATACAGATCATTCACACAAATGTAATAAAGATTAAAAAAGGGCAAATGGCACCTAATGATCAACACCTGAGGTTGACTTCTGGACTCCACATGCATGTACACCTGTTAATGTGCATCGGTGTAAACATGAGCATACCCACACAAGCTGGGCACAATGGTTCATAGCTATAATCCTCTTGAGCACTGTAAAGAAATGTCACTATTGGTTTAATAAAACACTGATTGGCCAGTAGCCAGTCAGGAAGTATAGGCAGGGCAACAAAACTAAGAATGCTGGGAAGAGGAAGAGTAAAGTCAGGTGTAGGTGTAGACAGCCAGATGCCGAACCAAGAAGAGAATGCCAAAAAGGTACCAAGCCATGAGGCTAAATAAACATAGATAAGAGTTATGGGTTAATTTAAGTGTAAGAGCTAGTTAGCAATAAGCCTGAATTACTGACCAAGCTTTTATAATTAATGTAAGCCTCTGTGTAGTAATTTGGGAAGGGGCTGCTGGCTATTTGGGAGTTGCTGGTGGAATAGTAACTTCCACCTACACTGATACATGAGGATTGCTGCAAATGTCAGGTCTACAGTTTGAGCTACATGGTGAGTGGTAAGCTCCAGAGCAGTTTGAGTATGGATGGGGCTACTCAAAGTAAAAATTCTGACATGGCCGGGCATTGGTGATGCACACCTTAATACCAGCACTTGGGGAACAGAACAGGTGGATCTCTGTGAGTTCAAAGACAGCCTGATCTACAGAGCGAGTTACGGGACAAGCTCCCAACACAGAGAAACCTTGTCTCGAAAAACCAAAATAAATTCTGACATGTTCAAATTATGCAAATACCAACTAGTTCGTCATCTGTGACACTTACCTTTCCAAGAAGTTTGACAAACAAAGGCCATAGTTTTAACACATAAGTCTCGTTTTTACTCATAAATAGCTTTTGAAGTTCTGAGATTAATTTCTGTAAACAAAAATAACATTTATCAAATACTTTGAGAGAAAATCCACTATCCAAGCCTAAAAAAATATTCAAACTTTTTTTGAGCCAAATAACCTCTCTACAGTTAAAGTATACATCCTCAAAAAAATACAAAACTGCATCATAACAAGTAACTAACATGTGACTTTCCATATAAAGCATGATGCCAATAAAATCTTCATGTGCTTGCTATGCAAGCATGAGGACCCAAATTTGATCTCTAGACATATGTCTTAAAAGAAATGTATGCATATTTGAAATCCTGAACCTGGAAAGATAGAGAAAAGAGGGGCCCGCAGTCTCACTGTCCATCAAGTTCTAGGCCAGTGAAACAATCTTTAAAAAAAAAAAAAGATTGCTCCTGAAGAACACCAGAAACATGGGCCTCTCTATGTACCCATAAAACACAAACATGCACATATGCCAAATAAAAAAATAATCAACACCTCATAATGAACCTGGCTTGGTGGCACATGCCTTTAATCCCAGACTCTGGAGGCAGAAAGTCTGAATTCAAAGCCAGCTGGGTCTATGCAAAGAGCTCCAAGCCACTCAGGCCTACAAAATGAGATCCTATTCTCAGAATAGCAGAAACCAACTTAAAATCGTCCCCAGGTCCCATTCCTATGTAGTTATGAGCTGTGTATTTGTCCATCCCCTGCCTCTTAAAGTGTTCTACAACATTCCCTGAAAAGCAACTGGGGGTGTTGGCACTAATGACCCTCTCACCTAAAATGAGCAGACACTATCCAATTATTATACACATGGCCAATTCTTTTTTAATCACTAATCACACATTCTGTTTTTAACACCTTTCCTTACTATTATGCCTATCTTTTTTTCTTACAAAAAAATACATCACAGATTTACACAGTAACAATGTCTTTGGAACAACTCACCATAAAACACACACAATGCTCAATAAAGGTCGCTAAGAATAGAAGCTAGTAAACTTAAGATCTGAAGCAGTAGCTAGGAAACTGCACTTACAAGAGCTTATTATAAGCTTTAAATGTGTATATACTGAGATGTTAATCCATTACAACTCTTTTTCAGAAATAATCCCTCTTTATTCACCACTCATTAGATAAGGGAATAAAATATCTAGACTTTAGTAAAACCTATAACAATTCACTTATTATCAGAGTAACTTGTGTAAGCTAACTTTTCTACATTTGTTTCTGATGCTTGAAATGGTACACAAGGCATGCAGTGGTGGCACTCAGGAGGCAGAGGCAGGCAGGCAGGCCTGGTCTACTGAGCAAGTTCCAGGACAGCCTCCAAAGCCACAAAGAAATCCTGTCTCAAAAAAAACACCACCCCTATCATTCCCCCCCCCACACACACACACACAAGAAATTTCTACACAAGGCTTTGTGTATTCTAAACTAGCACTCTACCATCTAGTTAAAAATCTTTGTTTTGATTCAAAACTCCTTTAGTCTTGTAACTACACCAATGAATTCAAGCAGAATTCAGTAGACTTACAAAAGGCAATACTTACAGTAGTCATAAGGTGCTCTGTAATCAAGGCTATTTCTTGTTGTTTCTGAAGCAGCAATGGCATCCCCATCTCCAGAGCGGTGGCTCCCCGCAAATGTACCTTTTGTGCTGAGTGAACTACTAATGGTATGACCAATTTGGCCCACCTCACAGATTCTTCTCCCATTTTAAGTGGGGCTTGTTCAATTAGCCTACAATAGAGAAATTGATGACTAAATTAAACTTAAAAAGTGAGGTCAAGTTAAATTATCAAGAAGCAAGGCCAGGTGATGCCTATAAATCCAACTGTTCAAAAGACTATGATCACAAGGTTCAAGGCCTATGTGAATGACATACTGTGGTGAGTTCAGCCTTAGGCACCTTGGTGAGATTTCATCTCTAATTTAAAAAAAAAAAAAAAGAAAAGAAAAAAAAGAAAAGAAAAAGAAAAAGACATCATGTTTGAGGTGCAACTTAGTGGTAGAGTATTTTTGCCTAGTAAGCTCAAATCACTCCCTCACACTGTAAAAGAAATTACCAGAAAAAATAACCATAGAAATATACATAATATGGCCCAATTAAATATATATTCTCAAATGAATATTTGTACAGACAAATACATTAATGTGTATACAGAGAAACAGATTAAATTGTACCTGTATACATCTGTATTGCACAGTGCATATGCACTGGAATTTCTTTTCTTTTTTTTTTTTTTTTTGATTAGTATAGTTTATTTTTTTACAGCACTTAATCCTTCTAAAGCACTCTACCACCAACTTTCAGGAGCTATACTCCTAGACTTTTCACAAAATGTTTAAATCAAGTGTAATCTTAATCTTAGACTTGAACCTTTTTTCCCCCCCAAGTATAAGACAGCCTAATGTCCTTAAGTTTTGATGTCTGGAAGATACACTGGGGGGAAAAGAACTGAATTCCTCAATTTGTCCTCTAACCACCACAAAAGTACAACAGTATGTGCAAACCAACAATTGTAATTACAACAGCTATACTATCAAACTCAACAGTATTAAAGGCAATCAGAGAAATAGGACATAATCTACAAGTCAGTCATACATCAACACAGTTTAAGCAAACAGCTGAACTAAAGACATCTTAGAAAATTAAACTACACAAACTGTGCTGCCAGCATGTCTAAGAGGAAGGTGCAAGGATGCTCCTGGCTAGCTCGTTTAAAGGAGGATTCTGAAAGTAAGACATACAATTTTTAGATCTGAACTATGACCAACAAGAATATAGCCAAACAAAAACCAGCAACTTACAGAGCCTGTCTTGGAACTAGTTCTGTAGAGCAGGCTGGCCTCGAACTCAGATTTTTTTTCTTCATCTTATTACCACCTTTCTCTTGTTCAAGTTTGTCGTCTAAAGGATATTCACTTGTATTTTGGGGTTTTTTTTTTTTTTTTTCTGGTTTTTCAAGACAGGGTCTCTGTGGTTTGGGGGCTGTCCTGAAACTAGCTCTTGTAGACCAGGCTGGTCTCAAACTCAAGAGATCCTGCCTGCCTCTGCCTCCTGAATGCTGGGACTAAAGGCTTGCCCCACCACCTCCCAGCCACTTTTGTTTACACCCTACTGTTCTAAGTTTGTGTGTGTGTACATGTATATGAGTACTAAATGTACCAGCATGTGTGTCTATACATCCACCCAGAATGGAGGTCTCTCCTTTCACATGGACTCCAGGGATTGAATTTGGGTTGCCAGGCTTAGTAGCAAATTGCAAGCCCCACTGTTTAATATCTACAAATCTTCATATATACAAATCCTAAAGCATAACTATTCTAATTTATACAAGAACCAACTGCATACCTTATAATAACATTTAATGCTTCAAAATCAACAACAGCAGAATGTACCTCTCCTTTACTAAGTAGCACTTCCAATGAATCAATAATACTGGATACCTAAACAACAAAACAAATACATATAAATCAAATAAGCCAGGACTGTATTGTTGGCACATAATTTAGATGCTCCTGAATTATACTCACCATTTTGCTAACAAGTTCACTGGGAAATGTCTGTTTGGATATTACCCACAGTGCCCTAGTACACACATTTTTGTCTGAACTCTTAATGATATCATTCAAGGTTAAAAGCAGTTCTTGAATATTTGCCTCTGAAAAACAAGCGCAAGTTTTAATTTCAATTATGTAGCATAGTTAAAATCTTTAAAATCTCAAACATAAAAGTAAAATAAAAATAATAAAGGCAGATGGGGGAAATCAGAAATTGGAGATAATCAGTCTCCAGAGATTCTGACAGATATCACATTTTTTGCCAAAATACAAAAACCTGACCAAAAGCACAAGACAGTAAAGAAAACTAACATTAGCAGACTGTAAACCATTCATTCATCTTCCACAATTCAAACAACTACAGTCATCTAAAGATACTAAGTCTTACACAAAAAAAAAAAAAAAAAGCTGGAACTCTTGATGGGGGAGGTCCTTCTGTATGTGTTTCTCTTACTGGCTGATGAATAAAACAGATTGACCAATAGCCAGGCAGGAAGCACAGGCAGGGCGACCAGACCTGCCTGTGGGGATAGGATAGATGAGGATAGGAAGGCAGAGGGAAGCCAGAAGAGACGCTATACTGCCAAAGGAGTAACATGCCGGATTAAGGTTAAATCATAGCCTTGTGGCAACATAGATAGAAATGGGTTAATTATTAATTATTAAGACAGAGGTAGCCAGTAAGAAGCCTTAGCCATCGGAAAACAGTTTATAAATATAAGTCTTTGTGTGTTTATTTGGGGCAAAGCAGCTGTAGGACCAGGCTGGAACAAATGTCCATCTTCAAACTCTTCAATGAGGGAGGATAGTAGCAACTTTATATCCTTATTACCCAACCTCTCAGTCCCTCTAATAGTAACCTTGTAGGTTTCCTTTAAAATTGCAAACTACTAATGACAAAATAGTATTACTGAACATTTGGAAAATATACTTTTTATTTGTTTAAGACAGGGTTTCTCTGTGTAACCCTAGTTGTCCTGGAACTTGCTCTGTATACCAGGCCTGCCCGTGCCTCCCAAGTGCTGGGATTAAAGGCATTGGCCACCACCACCCAACTGGCTCTTTATTCTTTCAATACCACTTCCAAACTGACATTTACCACTGTTATATAAGACCTTTTCATCATGATAAGTTCCTTAGAAAATAAATATGCCTGTCACATAAATCAGATAAATTACTGTTAACTTCAGATTTAAAAAATATATTCTAGCCAGGGGTGGTGGGTACAACTTTAATCCTAGCAACTGAAGAGGTAGAGGCAGGGTGATCTCTGAGAGTTCAAAGCCAGCCTGCTCTACAGACTGAGTTCTAGGACAGCCAAGACTTTATAGTGAGACCCTGTCTCAAAAAAAAACAAAACAAAAAGGGAGCCAGGAGTTGGTGGTGCACACCTTTGAATCCAGCACTTGGGAGTCAGAGGCAGGTAGACCTCTGTAAGTTCGAGGACAGCCTGGTCGACAAAACTAGTTACTTTCACGACAGGCCCCAAAGCAATACATAAAACCCAGTCTCAAAAAACACAACAAAACAAAAAACCCAAAAGGGGGGAAAAATTACATACATACATTTTTTATAGTATTTGTAACTATGTGTGTTTGTACATATATACACACTTTTTAGTAGGGTGTGTGTGTCCTACTAAAAAAAGGTTTGGGACCAATCAAGCAAGACTAAGACACTTAAGTCCCTTGCCATCAAGTCTATAATGATAATTTCAATCCCAGAACCAACTTGGTATATAGGACTCCTACCAAGTTGCCCTCTGAGCTTGAGTGTAGGTGCACATGGACCAAGTAAATGCCTTCCTAAATGAGGGGGATGTCCTAAACTACAAAGTATAAAATTAATCCATAAATGACAGTACTTTAACTGTATTAAACTATACTTTACACTCAACAGATATTAATAGTTATAATCATTTTACCTACCTGATAATCCTGAGGTAATTTTGGGATTATATAAGCAAAATCCCAAGGCCTGTAGAGCAGCACTACTCAGTTCAGAGTTCTGACTGGAAATGTGAGCCTACAAAAACAAAATCACATTCACAACAGTTTCTTGAATCAAAGCCGCCTACAAGCCAAATTCAATGCATTTCAAACCAATCAATCACCCAACCTTTTGGGAGTAAATGAAAACCAATAGGGAAATTTGGCAAAGGAGAAGATAACTAGAAAAAGATCAACTGAAGGGGTTGGAAAGATAGCTCAGCAGTTACTGTTGTAGACTCGTAGACTATCTAGATATGGTTCCCAGCACCCACATGGCAGCTCACAACCTGTTAACTCCAATTCCTGGGATTCGGACATCCACTTCTGGCTTCCATGGTCCACATGTGGTATACAGACATGCATGCAGATAAATACCCATATACATAAATGTTTTTACATTAACTGAAAGAACATTTTTAAGTAAAGATAAATGACATCTCCCACATATCCATGCAAAAAAAAAAAAAGAAAAAGAAAAAGAAAAAGAAATGGCCAACAAATGAAAGATGTTAAAATTATCAGACAGGAAATAAATGGGAGCATGATTCTTCTACAATGAATAAGCAAAGACTCAAATGCAAAGTTTACATCCTAGTTTTAGAATGGAGTAATGCCTTCTTCCTCTAAGACTAGGAAAGGGAAGCAGTCACAATGTAGCAATTCCCAGGTAGCTATTAGGCATTTTATCTCAATATTAAAAGTTAAAAAAAAAAAATGTTCAAGAAATGTGTGGCTGGGGATGTACTTCAATTGGTATAGTACTTGTCTAGCATGCATAAAGCCCGGGGTTCAATCCCCAGCACTGCATAAATGCAAAGTGGTGGCACATGCCTGTAATCCCAGCACTTGGGAGGCAGGAGGATCAGAAGTTCAAGGTCATCCTCAGCTATATAGAAGTCCAAGGCAAGCCTGGACTAGAGACCCTGTCAAAAAAAATAGTAATAATTTCAATAAGGTTGGGATATTTAGTTCAATCTTTTTATTCTAAAAACAAGAATATTAAGTGTTCATGTTATGTCATGAAGTCACTAAATGGTCAAGTGAGGCTAGTAAGACTACAGACTGATAATAAGTATTACCAACAAAAGAAAACAATTAACTATAATTTTTTAAAGTGTTAACAATTTTCCAACCAGGCATAATTATCAAAAATTGAACATGAATGAAAACAAAGAACATATAAAATGGGGTTTACCAATGCCAGCCTACAATCCCAAAAACTCGGGAGTCAGAGGCAGGAGGATTGTCATGTAGCTAGCTACCTGTTTCCCAGTCACGGTTTCACTGGGAAACGGTCTCAAACTCACTATCTCAATCAAGTGCAGACCAAAAATAAGGATAACATACTCATATACTTATAAAAAAACAAAGAGATTTTATCTGTGACGACTGTTTTTATAAGAGACAGGCTTTGAATTCAGGCAGCCCTGAACATTTTAACGGGGGAAAAAAAAATTTCCCAACCTGCAAAGTGGGGCTTAAAGAGCAAACTCAGGCTGTGGATATAGCTTGATGTCATGGACAGTGAACTTTACTAGTATGTCAGAGGCCCTGAGTATAGAAAATTAAAATGAGGTAATTACAAGGTAATTAAGAGTACCTGATGAACCATAAGTTATCAATAAAAGATAAAACAATCCTGTCAATATAACTGCAGATGTTGTGTATTCAGGGTAATGCACTGGCTAATTCTACTGCCAAAGTGAAGAAGCATTTACTAGAAAGCTACTTAGAAGTTGCACCTGGAATCCCAGCATTTGGGAGGCAAAGGACTCAATCTAGTGAGTTTTATCCAGACCAGTCAACGGCTTCAGAGGGAGCCCTGTCTGTAGTCATTAAGTTTAAAAAAAAAAAAAAAAAATAGATGAATAAGCACAGACCTTTAATACTGTATAAAGCCGAGGAAGGTTCTTCTCAATTTCTGTAATGACTTCTTTTCCTTCTTCTCCAGTCATACGACTTTAAAGGAAATAGAACATAAGCTTGGGCAAAAAAAAAAAGCATAAACAAAAAAGTACAGTAATCACTTTAAGGATTATTTTCAGGGTTGAAGAGACGATTCTGTGGTTAAGGACACATACCACTCTGGCAAAGGACCTGAGTTCAATTCCCAGCACCCCTGTCCTGAAGGCTCAAGAACCAAGGCCCATCCAACACTTAAAAGATTACTTTCAAGCAGTTGGAAAAAATTAATAAATCTATACTTAGAAATGCTTAAGAGTATATAGAAATCATTGTAAATTACGTCAGAAATAAGCGATAACTGGCACAAAAAAAAATTTCCCTCTAACCATGGATTCAACTTTTTTTTTTTTGGATGAGAAAAGGAAAAGGGAACCCCTTTCCCTAGTCTTTCTAATTTTATGGTCATTTGCCAAGAATCAGAAAACTTCTGAAGTCTTTCAAATAAAGCAAATATCGGGTTCCCGGCTCTATTAAAAAATAAAATGCGGGGCGTGGTAGCACTCTGAAGGCTGAGACAGGCGGATCACTTTGAGTTACAGGCCAGGCAGATCAGCAGACTGAATTCGGGGACAGCCAAGGCTACTTACTACAAGAGAGAAACTCTGTGTCTAGGGGAGGAGAGTGGGGAGGGGAGTAGCCAATTCTGGTGCTGATTTGATGGCTCCCGCACCTGTAATCTCAACCACGCGTAAGCTACCGCAGGATCCTAAGTTCGAGACCAGCAGGGTCCACCTGACCCTAACTAAACACAACAATTGCGGAACGCCGACTCTCTCAAACCCCATGCCTGTAGCAGGCTTGCAGTGAGAGCCGGCCCTCTTCATACTCTCGGCTCCAAACTTTTCAGAAACGCTCCCGTCTGCTACCCAAACAAAAACGCTCCTCCCCGAAGGAGCCCGCGGACGCCGACGCCGACGCCGACGCCGCTGCGCCCCGCAACGTCACTGGGCAGCACTGGCCCGGTTGCACCGCAAGCTGCCCGCGCCCGCCGCGTCCCCACGCCTCCCCCGGCCCCGCGCCCCGGGCTCGTCCCCGGCCGGCCTCACCTGGTCAGAGTTAGGTAGGCGTCCGTCTGCTCTCCGGGAGACGCCGAGGGGTCTTCCCAAGTCTCCAGGAGCGGCTCCAGGGGGCTGCGACCTGCGGCCGTCATGTCGGCCACCCTGAGGTGAGGCCGGAAGACACCGTGACCGGTGGCACGGCCCGCGCGGCGCCCTCACCCTCACCTGCACGCCGGGCCGCCGCGCGCTCGCAGGCCGCCCTCCCGCCCGTCCGGCCGCCCGCCCGGTTCCCGCCGTCGCTTCCCGGGCAGCGCAGCCGCGAGGGGGAAGAGGCAGCGCCGGCCGAGCCTCCCGCTCCTCACCCCACGCGGGAAGTCCGCCCCGCCGCACTCCGCCCCGGGCCGCCGTCTGCTCCCGGCTCGCGCTATTTACTCACGCGTGCCGCCCGCTCCTCCACGACCAAGATGGCGGCGGGGGGCGGGCCCAGTGGCGCGCGGGAGCCGGGGCAGGCCTGGCGGGAGAGGCTCGAGCCAATCCAACGAGCGGCGGCGCGCCGGGCTGCTCGATGGCCTGCTGCCCGCCCCCGCCCCCGCCCCCGCCCCCGCCCCCCGGGTCACCTTCAGGTGTGGGGTATCTATCTCCTGGGCCGGGGGCTAGAAATAGGTAATGGAAATGAGCGCTCCGTAACACCTGACTCAATCCGGTGCTCCTCCGACCAAGTTTCCAAACTCCCAAATCCAGTGCTTCTAGAGTGAGCAAACCAAACCATTGGATTGAGAGTCAAAGGCAGGCTTGTTAGGCTTGGTTTGGTTTTTTATTGTTGTTGTTTTGTTTTGTTGGTTTTTTTTTTTTTTTTTTTTTTTTTTTTTTTTTTTTTGGTGTTGGGTTTTTGTTTTCTGGGGGTCCAATGCTGAGCCTTGTGCCTGGTGAGCCTAGCATTTTAAGCCACATGCCCCAACCCAATGGCTAAGTCAGACGCATCTCAAGCATGCCCACTTTCAAACAGATTTACCCCGTCTCAATTTTCCTCTGAGATGAGGACTAGTTGCAGCACATTTGGGTGCAAAGAAAAAGTATAGGTACAAGAGGCCAATGGCGTGCATAACAAAGGCCTGGAAATGGCAGTATTGGTGTGCAGATTTCAAAATACTGCCCATTGGCCACTGCCTAGGTTGCTTTCTTCAATTATACTCCAGGTGTTGAGAGTGAGCTTGTTACACGGTGCGGAGAAACTACAGCAAACCCCTAAAGAAGGTGCTTCTCATTAATGTCATTTGGTGTACCTCTAAGCATGCCCTCCGCAGAAGTATCTCAACGTTAAAGACTGAAGGACCGGGAAGCAGGACCTTGGCCCACACCTTTACTCCAAACACAAGAGTATGCAGAAGCAGGCAGATGAATTAAAGACACCCCCCTCCCCCCCCCCCCCCGTCTTCCTAGGGAGTTCCAGGCCAACTAGGAGTACATAAGGAAACCCTGCCTCAGAAAACAAACAAACAAAATACTGTGAAAGCAACAACAAAGACTAATAAGTCCTCCCAGTGCTGGGCTAAGCTGAGTGCTTGCCTAGCACACATGAAGCACGGAGATGTAACCTCAGCACTGCTGCTTGTCCTGAGCAATTCACCACCTCTAACTTCCCTGTGAAAACCCTTATTTTTAGAATTATGGTCAGTTTAGCACAGTGGTACACACTTGTATCCCAGCACTCAGGCTGAGGCAGGAAGAATCCCCCAGTTCCAACCCAAACTCACTTAGGACTCATTTAGTAGGATTTGAATCCACCCTTCAGATGAAATCTTTCCCTCATTTGCACTTTTACCACCCACATTCCTTCCATAGAGATTTAAATTCCTCTGCCTCCCCAGTGCTGGGATTAAAGGCATACATCAACACACCTGGTTCTTGATCTCCTAAAAAGACTTAATTTTCTGTTCAAAGGTAATTGCAACAGAAGTTTTGAGTGTATAGTTAGATCCACCTACAGTCTCAGTGGGTTCCTTACTCTGCTCTTTGGTGTTTTCTGTCTCATTTGAAAAACTGAAAGATTGGGCTGGAGAAATGGATCAGAGGTTAAGAACACTGGCTACTCTTCCAGAGGTCCTGAGTTCAATTCCCAGTGACCACATGGTGGCTCACAACCATCTAAAATGGGATCTGGTACCACCTGGGGTGCAAGCATACTTGCAGGCAGAACACTGTGTACATGACAAATAATAAATAAATAAATAAATGAGTTTGAGGCAGGAGAATAGCTATTTGAGGCTAGACTGGTCTGTATAAGAAGATCCTGTCAGGTGCAGCAATAGAGGCAGTAGCTGGAAGAAGAGGTAAGGTAAACATTTTTTTTTTAAAGCCTGAAAGATTAAAGTCAAAATAAGCTCCCTTCCCCACAGAGACACTTCCACACATCTTCCAAACTGCTGGCTTCCTCCAAGGTTCTCTTTTCTAGAAAATTAGTCAACACAAATATGTGATCGCTTACAAGTCTGAAGCAGTAGGATGGCTATGAGTCCCAGGCCAAGCTGAGCTATATAATGGATACCAGGACAGTCAGAGCTATATAAGAAGACCATTTTTTGTGTCCAAGAAACAAGTCAGGTGTGGTGGTACTCACCTTTAATCCCAGAATTTGGGAGGCAGATGTAGGAGGATCTCTGAGTTCAAGGCCAGCCTGAACTTGCTATATAGTAAGTATAGCTATAGATACAGCAATTTCCTGGATAGCCAGAGCTATATAGAAAGGCACTGTTTATAAAATTAAATATATATATATATATATATATGTGTGTGTGTGTATATATATATATATATATATATATATATATATATATATATATATTACATAAAGTCCCAGCACTTGGAAGGTAGAGGTAGAAGGATCAGGAATTCATCATCCTCAGCTATACAGTATGTCTCTGAAAGAATTTGCCTATGCATAGCAGAAATCTATCTTTGTTTGTTTGTTTGTTTGTTTTTTATTGGTCAAGGGCAAAGTTAAGACTGGGTTTCCCAGTATAGCTTTGACTATAGAGTTCACTGTGTAAACCAGACTGTCTCCAAACTCATAGCAATTGTTTACTTCTGCCTCCTAAATTCTGTGATTAAGAGCATGTGTCTCCACACTTAGCTTTTCTTAATTTTTTAACATTTGTCTGTGTATGTGTGTGTGTATATATATATATGTCAGAGGATAGCTTGAAAGAATTGCTTCTCTCCACCATGTGGGGTCCAGGGCTCGAACCCAGGTTGTTAGGCTTTCTAATAAAAACTTCTACTTGATGAGCCAACTCAGCAGCCCCCTTTTTTCTCTGTCTTAAACGTGTCATGAGGGAGAGGGGAATTTGGAATCTCAAGAGCTACAAATATAATCAAAATTGTGCTGTGCGATCGGGCAGCTATAAAGTTCTGGGGAAGGGAAAGCTCCCTAAGCTGCCTGTATCGTGACAGCCAGATTTTTCAGCTGAAGAGCTGAAGAGAAGATAAAGGGTGTTGGAGGTGCCTGTGTCCTGGTGGCTTGAACCACCCAGGGAGGTTAATTAAATGCTAACATTTTCAAAAAACAAAACAAATAATCAAACTGACGATCTTTTTTTGTTTTGTTTTTCAAGACAGGGTTTCTCTGTGGCTTTGGAGGCTGTCCTGAACTAGCTCTTGTAGACCAGGCTGGTCTCAAACTCACAGGGATCCACCTGCCTCTGCCTCTCGAGTGCTGGGACTAAAGGTGTGTGCCACCACTGCCAGGCTAATTGACAATCTTGAGAAGAGGAAAAATGGTGTTTTATAATGTGATGGGCCTTCTGAAAGAATTTAACCTTGTTTTGACAGTGTCTCATTGTGTATCCTGAGCTAGCCTTAACCTCCTGACACTCCTGTCTCCATCTCTTGAGTGCTGGGGTTACAGGTATGTGCCCTCTTGTCAGGGTTCAATCTTTATTTGATTGTCACATGAAGTATTTTCCTGGGCTGTCAGGTATTCCATAGAGAAAGTGTTTTCTCTATGGCTGTGAGGGCCTGAGTTCAGATCCTTGGCACCAATCAAATTCTGGGTGTAGTGGCATGTATGCATCGACACAGTCCACCCATAAAATCTACTTTATTTCTCCCTGAGAAGGAGGTCTATGTGTTTCCGCTAGTCCCTTCCTCTGTATCTAACCTCTTTGGATCTATATGTTGTAACTTGGTTATTGTTTATTTAATGGCTAACATCCACATAAAGTGAATATATACCATATTTATCTTTCTGGGTCTGAGTTAATTCAATAAGGATGATTTTTTTTTCTCATTCTATCCATTTGCCTGCAAATTTGATGTTGTCATTTTTTTAAACAGCTCAATAATACTCTGTTGTGTAAATGTACCACAGTGTCTTTATCCATTCTTCAATTCAGGGAACTAGATTGATTCCCATTTGGGGCTACTATGAAGAGCAGCAATGAAGGTGATTGAGGAAGTGTCCTAGTGGTTGGATGAATAGTACTTTTGGTACACGCCCAAGAATAGTATAACTGGGTCTTGAGGTAAATTGAGTCTCAAATTTCTGAGGAACTATCATATTGATTTTCATAGCGGCTGTACAAGTTTTCACTCCCACCATAAATGGAGTGTTCCCCTTGCTCCATATCCTCATCAGCATCAGCTGTCACTTAGCCATTCTGACAGGTTAAAGTTGAAATCTCAAAATAATTTTGATTTTCATTTCTCTAATGGCTTAAGAAGTTGAGCATTTTTTAAATTTACATTTGAAACAATGTTTTACATGTTAATCCCAGTTCTCTCACCCTCCCATCCTCCCTTATCACCCCCACAAACTCCAGCCCATCCCCTTTCTGCTCCCCAGGGAGAGTGAGACCTTCCATGGGGAGTCTTTAAAGTCTGTCATATCATTTGGGGCAGGGCCTAGGCCCCATGTGTTTAGGCTGAGAAAATATCTATGTGTACTAGGGATAAATACTGATCCATTACCAGAGGCCCCATAGACTGACCAATCTCCCTAACAAACACCCACATTCAGGGCGTCTGGATCGTTCCTATGCTAGTTTCCCAGCTATCAGATTGGGGTGCATGAGCTCCCCCTTGTTCAGGTCAGCTGATTCTGTGGATTTCTCCAGGTTGGTCTTGACCCCTTTGCTCATCATTCCTCCCTCTCTATAACTGGATTCCAGGAGTTTGGCTAGTGTTTAGCTGTAGGTGTCTACTTCTGCTTCCATCAGCTACTAGATGAAGGCTCTAGGATAGCATATAAGATAGTCATCAATCTCATAACTGTGCAAGGGCATTGAATATAGCCTCTCCACTATTGCTTAGATTGTTAGTTGGGGTCATCCTTGTAGATCTCTGGGCTTTTCCCTGGTGCCAGATTTCTCCTTAAATCTATAATGGGTCCCTCTATTATGGTATCTCTTTTCTTGTTCTCCTCTATTCTTTCCCTGTCTCATTCTTCCTGTTCCCTCATGCCCACATCTCCCCTCCTCTTCTCCCCTTCTCTTACTCCTAGCTCCCTCTCCCTTCCCTCCATGCTCCCAATTTGCTCAGGAGATCTTGTCCCTTTCCTCTTCTCGGGGTGGGGT